ATAAAAACTCCGCTGGAGAAAACCTGTCCGCAAGAATGTATTTTCTTGGGCGTAAACATGACGTCAAGCACTATATGTTAGCAATAATGTAGTTACTTTGGTGTAAACAAGTCAATTAACGCACCAATCACAATTGTACTTGAAAAATGAACGGCGTTTAGTCACGAAAGCCTAGATTTCTTCCCTCATTCTCAGTTCGGCTTGCCACCGCAGGCTGTTACTCCCAAAACGGTAAAGCCTAAAGTGTTTCACTGCGCAATTCACCATTGTCATTATTCTCTGGGAAAGTAAGGTAAGGGTAATCACTATACTTTATTTTATTGATACTAATATACGGTTGTAAGTAGTTATGCTTTCCCCGCGTGGGCCATGCAGGAGGATATTCTTGTTTCCTACTTCAACGATCTCCAACGGCATATTCTTGTTTCCTACAAGTTCAACGATCTCCAACGGCAGTTTTTCGTCAGTATATCTGCAACTCAACTAATCGTCTTATTTTTGACAAATGAACCGAACCTATAGATAGCGTTTTTCGACGTCTCGATCTATTTTGACCTGCAGGACATTCAGTCATGCATGTGCCGTAGATTGTTCAGACTACATTCCATGATGATGCATTCCAGTCCGAAGGCTTCGTAGAGGCGATTGGGGCATTCAATACGGTCGCAATGAAGGCGATTGGGGCTTTTTACACCATAATTATGCAATCGGACTCAAGTTTTCGAGAGCGGAGTGAAAGTGATTGTGGCTGAAAGTTAGCTTTCAATTCGTGCATACTTTCTGTTTATACAGTATTTGACAATGATTAATCATTAATGTGCCAGACGACAGGTTTCTATATCTGCTATATAAAGCGAGTATAAAATAGAAGCTAATCTTGTGTTGTGAGTTAATTTTATCACTTGTGTAATTTTTTTATTTCATAAAATCTACTAATTCAATTAATTCACTAAATGAAGTTCCACTTTTGGCTCGCTTGTGTGTCCATCTGTAACTGTTGGCGCCATAGGCCTAAGCTTATTCATAGTTAGCAATCCAGATTCCGTATCCTAGGAAACGGGAATAAACTGGGGAAACAAGCAGAAGCGAACAGGTGGGAAATTGTCACAGCATGCGCGAAAGCTGCGCGTATATATTCAGCAGGGCAAGATATATGTGTTTCCACGCGGTTGACTTAATTCAAAATCAAAGAGAAACGTAAACAAAGCCTTCGAGAAACAAATTTGCAGCTAACATTTTGAGGCCCGGCAATATAGGCCTAACCAGAAAATGTGCATTAAGTGAAAAATGGGTTACAGTAGGCTAATACATGTCAATGCAAACTATTTAACAATATCGATTTTTTCAGTGTAAACCAAAACGGAGCAAAATAATGCGTTCAAAATGTCGTTTGATACGCTACAATAAAATGTAAAATTTAAACCAAAAATATATCAACACTTCTATGTTTTTTACGAATTCAAAACTTTACATAAAGTACAGAACGAGCAAAAATTGTGTTTGAAAAGAATACAAACTTGTTATGCTTCGAAATAAGGATCATAGAAAAAAATTTATTTGTTTTTAGAAATAATTTGAAAACATATAAATATAATAGTTTAAAACTACAGCGAGGACAATTAATTTTCCAATCTGCGCCGGTATTGCGAAAGCGGGTTTTTTCTTGAATTAAGGTGGCTCGATGCAGACGTTTTCAAAACGTCAAGTGTACACATGGGACGTAACTAGAGCGATAATTGGGGGGTATATTCATATATTCGTGTTCTGCCAAGTGGATTTCTTTTGAAAGCGATTGTTTTGTTTGACAATTGACGATTGTTTTGTTTGACGTCAAGTTTGACAGTTTGACAGTTGTAAACGTCATATATTTATAGGTTTTATGCAGCAAATATTATAGAATGTTCATCTATTTTAATGTCCCTTCTTTCCGCACTTTATGTCAGTTTTGGTAACACATAGTTTGTTGCTATGGCAGCACACGCGTACAAAATTCACTCAAAAGTAGCTTATATTATTGCTTTGTGTAGTTGTATGGAAAAGAAGCACGGTAACCCAAACTTTTTTCGTGAACTATGTTATATATATATATATATATATGTATATGTATATATATAGCTTAAGATTTTGGTTTACGAAACACAAACAGTGCTCAATACCATATAGATAGAGCGTAATATAGTTTTTCGTTTTACCTCAAAAAACCACAACAGTCTGTTTCATCCGTATAGGAAGTTCCTATACGGATGAAACAGACTGTTGTGGTTTTTTGAGGTAAAACGAAAAACTATGTATATATATATATATATATATATATATATATATATATATATTATTACTTACAACATAGACTAATAATAATGCCATTTTTCCGGAAACATGAATGATCACCCGGGTTTGATCATATAACGCAAAGTTTTGTTTTCGCGATTCTTGTGTAAGGGATTTTGTGTGGATTAATATATCGAGCCAGCTTAAGCTATACATTTACACGTTGCAATTTGTGTATGTAGACGATTAGGCACGTGTACATAAATTGGTTGCATTTCAAAATTTTGCTATGAACTAAATGAAAGGAATTGTGTAGTCAGCGCTAACTTCATGATATGCCAGATTATTATATATGGGAAGGTCCATCTGCAAAATGCAGCATTTTGATTGGTTCCTGAGATGTTAGTAAGTGGAAAAGCTAGAAAGGCGTTTAGTTAGTCGGGAAAAAACTTACACTCAAATGTGGCAATGCGACAGTGTAAAGATGATTAAAGGTAGGTTACAGTCGCATCTGCACATATGCAGGACTTTGTTGTTTATGTGGGGACACAACAGGTAGGCAATTTGTCTGAGCATGCGCGCAGAAACTCAATATGGCGACATATATTAGGAGTGTTTCGTGGATTTATCTGGTTTTAAAGCTGAAAAAACAACATTTTAATGAACGAAAACTTTGTAATATTTAGTGGAAAACATTCAAGCTGTGCATTCCAATTTCCAAAGATTTTAAATTGAAAATAAGTATTTTATTGCTTTTTATGCTTTGAAAACAGGCAAGCTCATATTTTTTAAAAAAATCTTATCTAAAAATCTTATCTTTTCAATTTTCTGTGATTTACATAACACTATTTATAATTTAAGGGTCAACCAGTATTGTTCAAAACATATTTTCCTTCCAGAACACCTTTCAAAATACTAATCCAAGCATGTCAAAAATTGTGTACATTTACAAGGGCAATTTCCATGGGCGTCAAAAGATCGCTAAGTGGGGGGGACCATATTCATATATTCGTGTTCTGAATTGTTAATTTCTTTTGAAATCGATTGCTTTTAAGGCCTGTGAACACGAATATATGAATATGGTCCCCCCCCCACCTATCGATCTTTTTGGCGCCTCTGGCAATTTCAACCCTTTGGCACATTTTTCCCATGAATGATTTTAATTCTAATATAAAGACTATAGATAAAACTTTGATTTAAAGCTAGTTTCAAGCGATGAACATACCCTAAATTTTAAGCTATACCTAAGAAGATAGGTCATTTCAACATAAACATTGAAATATAGTTGTACTGACAGCTCAGCTCGGATTGTACAATCCGCTCTACAGAAAGAACGTGAAGCGGACGAAAGTTGCAGAAAAATCCCTTCGTTTAATACACAAGCACTTCCCCAAATCATCGATCCTACATAAAATTTTCAATCGAAACTCTGTCAAAGTCAGTTATTCATGCATGAACAATATTAAAACATCAATTTCAAACCACAACCGACGTCTTCTTAAGGGGCTTGAAAGAACCCGCCGTCATTCCTATATAATTCTTGACCACTTTTCCATTGTCGCTTGTAATCTGGGCTTTATACACAACGCTTCTCACGAAACAATTGCCGTTCAGTGGACATTCACTTTTAATTCTGCATGCAGTTACACAATTTCGAGGGATTTTGGGAGGGATTCCGATTCTAAAAAGGGGGAGCTTCACCTCAAAATTTGGTCGATTAGGATGAAAATGTGAAAATTTCAAAAACATCATGATAGGATACCTAAACATGTATTTTATCAACTAGTGAAGTCTTTATTTAAATTTCCATACTTTTTACGGAAAATAGACTTTAGAGAAAGGATGTGAGATTTCATTGAATGTTTACACCAGGTTACCATGGAAACGGGCTTCAAAAATCCTCTAAAAAAGTAGTTTTACTGTGCGATTTCAATGTAAAAATTTTATACAGGGCTACGTATGCCAATGGTGTGTATTATGGATATGAGAGGCACATAGGGACATGCTACAATTGCATAATTTTGTCATTTACATAATTTTACTCATTTACATGAGGCTTTGAGAATATATTCCGCTAAATTTTCTATTTTGTCGCTATATTTTGTTGCATTTTTGGTTTGTAATAATGCCAAAAGGTTCCAAAGAAGGAACAAAGTTTCGTGTGAAAAACAAATCAAAGAAAAAGCCCGTTTCAAAGGAAACGATTCTCTGATTTTTGCGAAGATGGCGATATTTTGAAGGAAAGTTCATGGCTCTCAAATCTAACACCCGATCTGGATCAGAAAAGTAAAAGGAAGACTAATATGACGACGATTTATTGAATAAAACTGATGAGAAGTCAACATCGGCAAAGATACTGGAGAAAGCTAATTTAAAATCACCTCAAATTTACTCCTGAAATTGAAGGGATATTATAAACTGCAAGGCAAACTTGACAAGGACAAGAAGAATATCGGATTGTTTGTATTGAAAACATTAGGAAAACTGTTGAGAACATGCATAAGTGCAAAAATGAAAACATTATAACTTCTGAAGATGCTGCAAAACGTGCTGGACTAAGCAGAACTTAGTTTATTATTATTTTGAGTGCAGAAGATTGACATGGATACATAGAAGCCAGTTGAGGGAAAGGCATGTTCTTTTGATGTAGAACTAATTTTCCTATGGGTGAGCTGGGCTTAGGTTGCGAAATTCTTTTAACTATTTGTGACATTTGAACATTGGCCCTCCAGTTTATAGCGATAGTGCTTACCAAAAACACAATCAATCGGTGAATCTACCAACAAGAAAAGTCTTGGAAGAAAGATTGAACATTGGTGCGGCTGGTCGACTTGATGTAATGAAAGAGCTGAAAATGTCTGCTGGTTTTTATACAAAAACTGGAAGTGGGAAAAAGAATGACAATAGAGTAAAACAAGCAAATGCAAGGGCCCAGATGAAGTTCAAGGAAGCAAGACAGAAGATTCGACAGGCAAAATTGGTGGAAGAGGCAAGATCGAAGGCACGGAAAGGAGTAACATATGAGAGCGCGGCATTTAACGAGGATTGTTTGAGTGGTTCAACTAAGATTGTTTGAGTGGTTCAACTAAGAGAAAGAGGACGACAAGGAAAAGTAGTGGTAAAAAGGGCAAAAGCAAGCAGCCAAGAAAAGAATAGAGCCTCAAACACTCTTATAACACTCAAACAACAAGTTCCAAAGGAAATTAAACTTTAACTGTCTATTTCTCAAAATGTGATATTTGACCGCACGTCAACTGCCCCCCTAGCTTTTCTTGTTACTGTTTTAATGAAAATTTCCCATTTTTGGCACAGATGTAGTTTAAGGTATGTAGAATGCAACTATGAGCCACTTTTTGGTATATGCAATCTGTTTTATCCGTTACCATAGCAACCATGGTGAATTACAAAAAAATGGCTCATAGGAGCATAGTTCAATATCTTAGCTACCACAAGGTGCATTTTCACTTAGATACATCACATATTATGTGAAATTTTATGGGGGGGCAAAAGTGGCATGTAAAATCCAGTTTTCCATATACTACTCGCTTCTTTGGTGTCAAATTTCAGTCCGATACACTGAACTGGAAAATTTTTTGTCTCAGCTGATAGCTGAAGATCTCTAGTTTCTAAAAATATATAGTTTATGCATATTTTGCTTTAAAATATGCCTCCTAGCAATTGTTAATTTTTTGTCCATTTTGAAGTACGATTGGGGTGAAGCTCCCCCTTTTTAGAGTTAAATATAGCAACCACTTGAAATCATTGAACACTGAGTGCTATTCGACCGAGACGGAACTTTCGAAATATGATCATTCCGAATAAAATGGTCGGTTATGAAGCAAGTTCCAGCCGTTTGCCCAGGAATGAAAGTTTGTTGTCTATGGACCGAGGAAAAAAGAATGATTATGTTATCTTACAAAAATAATACATTGAATATAAGATCTGAATTGTTTAGCAAATGTAGGCATAGGAATAGTTATAAAGCTTCTAATTTCAAGAGCGCGGGCGCAAGTAAACATATTTAAATGCTTGCGTCAGCAATCTAAGCGCGTCAGCGTAAACGTTGTAATTTATTGCGAGATACTTAACATCAATCGCTTGATGATCGTATTCGTACGATGTACGTGAAACACTGTGTAGCGATAAAATAAAATTTTAAGATTGAAATTTGTTGTTTTTGTTTATATATATATATATTGTGTGTAATTTCGAAAATATAGGTTGCTTTTATGCTATCGAAAGAACGCGCGGAATGCGTGTAGGCGAAACAATGCTTAAGCAAAACAATTAATGCTTAGACGAAACAGTGCATAGGCGAAATAATGCTTGGATCATTAAATTTTATTAAGGACCTTGTTTATACTCGAAATCGATTTTTGTGACGACACTTGCTGTTGAGTAAACAAGGTCTATACATATATTTCTTAGACACGGTGTGGACGATCTCTTTTAGGTTGAAAAACTTTGCATTGTCAAAGAACCCCGAGCACACCGAATCAAAGACATAAGTAAGATATTCATTGTGACAAAGAATTTTACGAAGCATTTCTGGTTGGTTGTGAAAGTTCTCATAGCATGAACAGATGTGACAGAAAGGATGTAACAAAGATGTGACCAAAGCACGTTTGTAAGTTCTGGGAATAAAATCATGCGGAAGCACACTTTAAGGAGAAGTTTCAAAGTGGCCGTAGGAACAACTGATATTAATATCAGGAGATGGAAGTTGCCCGCTCAAATCCCCAGGTAAAGTTTATATTATATAGGGTGTTGACAATTGACAATTCGAGGAACAAGGGTGTGTGAATTGAAAAATAGAAAAGGAGAAAGCAATTGTCGTTATAGCGGCGGTAAAAAAGGCTTGGATTCAGAAGGGTAGTTGTTAAACCAATTCTTTTCGTGAAAAGATATAGATGTTATTTACCGGCTGGGGGTCCGTATATACTGAAAAGTATTTTCCCGAGTTTTCACAGAAGCGGCCCAAGACCGAACGGGCCGACCTTAACGGTAAATAACGTTTATAATATATATGTTATATATAAGAACGTTGATTACATGGATCATGCACGTGCGTTCTCAATAACGCGATTGAGCACGGAAAAAAAGCGCTGAATATTTTTGCCATTTTTTTTGGGAAACATTTCCTAGTCTATAGAATTTTTACAAAAAAAGTCATTGTTTTAGTTAATAAAATATAACTTAATTGTTGAATAAAAACACTAGCTCGGCCATTTACTTTTGACAGATAATGGATGATTCCAGCTATAGACTAAACTGTTTTGATTAAGCTAGCCAAGAAGAACAAAATCCAACACCACACAACTATAGAAAGAGCGTCTTAGAATGAGTAAAACTGTGAAGATTGGTTGCTAAACGTTGTAAAATGACGAAAATATAACTCTATGAAGTTCGCAAATTTTGTATGTATTTGTATTACGCGGGGTAAAAATAACCACTTTCGGCTCAAAAATGGTTATTTTTCCCGCGTGTTATGCAAATATATACAAAATTTTCGAACTTCACAGGGCTATATTTTCCTCATTTTACAACAATTCGCAGCCACACTTTGTAATTTTACTCATTTTAAAATTCTCTTAAGTTTCTAGCTATATATGGTAACAGTGGCGTAACATAGCTAAGAAATGATTGTTCCTACGGCAAACTGTTTATTATTAACTTTTTTTAAACAAAAAACCGCAATATTAAAGCTTGCATTCGACGAGTTTTTGCAGTGTTTCTCATTTTAGTTAAGTGGTACTATACTTAACTAAAATAATAAACATGCACCGGAAAAACTCGTCGACTTACGAGTATAAGCTTTAAATATTGTGTTTTTTTTTGAAAGACACACCTTTACAACAGGAAAATGCATAATACATCCGTCTAATCACCAGACCGTCGTTGCCCGAATGACAAGACAATTTTTGCCCGAATAGATAAATTCTTCAAAAATTGCGGGGGGGGGGGGCTGCAGCCCCCCAGCCCCATGCCCCCTCCCGTACGCCTATGCCTTAAATTATCAAAATGTTAACAAAATTTCGATTATTTTGAACTTTTCAAGCTCCACTTGCATTTTTTTTTACGATACTCTGAACAGTAGATTTTCTGGCGACTAGTCGATTTAATTTAAATTTTGCATGCACAAAACATGTAGCACAGCTTTTTTGATGTTTGTATGTTAAAGAAATATTTGGGGTTTTTTTCATTTTGGTCCAGCAAAGTATATTTCGGGTTCGACACAAACTCCTTTGCAAGTTATTTTAGTTTATTTTCTTATCTTAAAACCATTTACAGTGCGACCAATTCTTTTCTTAGGTTCAGTCAAAGGTCGCGCTGATTATAATGTGGGTGCAATCCCAATCTAAAATTAAATTAATCAAATAGTCTAAACTCACTGTTTGAGCTCATTAGCTCCACACATAAAAAAATTATATAGTTACCTTTTTACTCTTGACTGACTATTAATTAATGAATTTATTAGGGCTTGGAAAATAAAAATAGCCATCCTTGTATACCTATAATTAATCAAATTGGGTCTGGAAACTTGGACAAAGTCTTGTGCGCGATGATTAGAAGTCGCTCAACATAAATCATTGCTCATTGTAAACGCTTTTCAGACCCGCTCTTGATTGCTATACAGTAGTGCAGATTACGTTTAATCATGCTGTTTTTCAGAAACACAGTGACAGATTCGACAACTAGTTTGCATAACAATGATGAAAGTATTTCACATTATGACAATGATGTTAATGGAGATAGAAAAACAATGTTGAGAATGGAAAAAAAGGAAAACGATGAATGTGGAATAGGTTCAGATGAGGGTATGTAACTATATGATTTTGACATATTGATACGGGGACTAGCTAACAGTCGTGGGTAGAATGTCGTGGGTCGTGGGTAGAATGCCGTGGGTCGTGGGTAAAAAGTCGTGGGTCGTGGGTAAAGAGTCGTGGGTCGTGGGTAAAAAGTCGTGGGTCCCGAATAAAAAGTCGTGGGTCCCGAGAAAAAAGTCGTAGGTTCCGAGAAAAAAGTCGTGGGTCCCGAGAAAAAAGTCGTGGGTCCCGAATAAGAAGTCGTGGGTCCTGAGAAAATGCCGTCGGTTCCAAGCAAAGTATTTCCATATATTTAGCTTTCTCCCTTTGGAATGCGTGTTTTTTCTTCTTCTGAGGCTTTCCCAAATATATGTAGTCTTAGAGCGCGTTAAGGCCGGGTTTTTTATATCGGGCAGATCGGTTTATAAATATTATAACCAAGTGTGACAGTGTTAATGCAATGCAATGTCTGTTTTACTAGAAAAAAAATAAAAAAAGCATTTGAGAGATTTCACTTAAGTACATATTTAGTATCTAACCATGTTGCAGTAGTGAATCTAGTGTCAAATTTATTATGTGGTTTGTAATTTCTAATGTCAAACATAAGTTACAAATATACAGTCACATGCAGTATTTGTAACATTTATCTGTCTATAAGATTATAACGTCCAAATATTTGAGCTATATGGGGTTTAAAGTTGAACTGTTTCGTGACTTTCGTCCACACTTGATTATAATATTTATAAACCAATCTGCCGATATCAAAAACCCGGCCTTAACGCGCTCCAAGACTATGTATATTTGGGAAAGCCTCAGAAAAAAAAAACACGCATTCCAAAGGGAGAAAGGTAAATATATGGAAATATTTTGCTTGGAACCCACGGCATTTTCTCAGGACCCACGACTTCTTATTCGGGACCCACGACTTCTTTCTCGGGACCCACGACTTTTTATTCGGAAACCCACGACTTTTTACCCACGACCAACGACTTTTTACCCACGACCCACGATTTTTTACCCACAACTTTTTACCCACGACCCACGACATTCTACCCACGACCCACGACTGTTAGCTAGTCCCATCGATACGTGCATGGTGTCGGCTCAGAATTTTTGCACGTGACTTGTTTCTTTTATATATTGTTGCTTAATTGGTACAATTTCATTTCTTATAATATTAATATTTTAGTTAATCCTTTAATTAATGGTTTTAGATATGTATTTATAATATAGCATTTGTAAATTCTGGACACTGATTGGCCAAGAGCCGTGTTGACATAACTCAATGTCAACACAAAAAATTTCGCGCCTCTTTTTAAATTGAAAAGCGTATTCCCAAAATTTGTGCTATATTATAAAAAAATATGAAAACATTTTTTGGTATTGATATACAGTTAGCTACATCAACACCCGGGCGTCGTGCTTCCACACAATTTCTACTCGTGTTGATATAACTGTATCTCAACATGCAACGCGGAAATTAAATGTTTTATATTTTGTTAACTATTGACTATTGTATTTGTCTTTAACATCTATCGGCTACCTGTAAAACATGGAACGGAGAATCCCGGAATGAAATGGGGAATGGAATGACCCGGAATTGTAAAAGCCGGAATCTGTAAAACCCGGAATTGTAAAAGCCGGTATCTGTAAAACCCGGAATTGTAAAAGCCGGAATCTGTAAAACCCGGAATTGTAAAAGCCGGAATCTGTAAAACATGGAATCTGTAAAACATGGAATCTGTAAAACATGGAATCTGTAAAACATGGAATCTGTGAAACATGGAATCTGTAAAACCCGGAATCTGTAAAACCCGGAATCTGTAAAACCCGGAATCTGTAAAACCCGGAATCTGTAAAACCCGGAATCTGTAAAACATGGAATTGTAAAAGCCGGAATCTGTAAAACATGGAGTGTAAAAGCCGGAATCTGTAAAACATGGCATTGTAAAAGCCTGAATCTGTAAAACCCGGAATTGTAAAAGCCGGAATAACAAATCCGACAAGTTGATTGGTCAATAATTATTAATTTAATTATGTCAAGTTTTGGCGGGATTTTCGATCTCCTCGTGTCTGAGCCTTATTAATTAACAACCTCAAGCACAGGCGGCCCAATCTTACCCGGTGTTATTAATTACGTTATATCTTTATATAAATAGTATATTGAAAATCATTAGAAAATCCTGTGTTATTAATTTATTACGTTATATCTTTATATAACAGTCTAATGAAAAGCACTTACCGGTGTTTCTTGAAAGATTTTAACGAGAACCGGCCAAGATTGGCGTTGACAAGAGGTTAACGGCCATAGTTGGAGTTGACATGAGGATTAACAGCAAGAAATAATACAAGGCTGGTCACTTTGACCGTTAATTGGACTAATTGGGACAAACGCTGACAGAAATCAATCGAATAACGCCAACTTCGGCTGTCGCATCCTCGCTAAATTACGTTACATCGGAAGAGCGATAATTTTTACATAATATACTTTTCTTTCAGAATTTAACAATAGTCTTCCTGCAGAAAATGCCAATTGAAACTTACAAATGTCTAATCTTCCCCGGTTCGTCACCGATCTGAATTCATATTATATAATAACTACAGTGAAACACGCAATTTGAATGGTCAATAGCCGTGCAGGATCAGGCTATCCTGCACGAGGAATTAAAATGCCTTCGCGGGATTTTCGCGGGATTCTCAAAATGTCATTGTTTCACTGTAGTTATTTTATAAAACAATTACCAAATGGTTTTCCAAGCAGGATAGCGTGATCCATGCACTTGGGACGTTGCTCGACTTTCGGAAAGCGTAAAAATACACTCGCCTGCGGCTCGAGTATTTTTACGCTTTCCGAAAGTCTCGCGACATCCCTCGTGCATGGATCACGCAATCCTGCACGAAAAACCATTCGGTATCCTTTAATAAAAGGTAATAGAATAATAATTAGGTAATTAGAAACGGTTTAATAAGGTAATAATAATCATCATAATAAGGTGATTAGAAAGTTTAATGCAACATCAACATATGACTTTTATTCGACTATATCTGTGCGAATATTACAGGTACAATAATTTTACGTATATTGCCAGATAGCTGATGCATTCAGCTACATTTTGATACGAGCTATAATATTGTAGCTAGAATATTGAGCGAGAATTCGTTGCCTAAACGAGGGTGTAAAAATTGCCGTCTGAATACACTTTCTATAGTCGGAATATATGTGTGGTTTTAGGCACGAGATTCAACCGCTTATATTAATTCGAAATTTAACGACATACACCCCTACCGCGGATGGTTTGAAAGCTTGTGAAAATGCCTACATTTTAGTTGGATTTATAGTCAGGTTAGTTGAAAATTCGCCGAGAAAATGTTCGCAACAAACTGTTGTTCTGCCACGGAAATTCAAAAATTAGTCTATTACATTTTCAAAATCTCGCCTTGCTGCGCATATAAACACACGCATTTGGAGCTTTCAAAATATATAGTCATAAACCTTTAAAGACACAGGTGGAACGAAAACTTATTAAAATTGAAACGGCCTATTTTGAAAATAATGATTTTCTTGAAAATCCGCCATTGTCCATTGATTTTCCGTCCTCGTTTCACCGTACATCAAAATCGAGCTTCAAATCAACAGTAATCAGTATTGATAAATAATATTCACTATAAAAACTAACTTTCACTGTTTTTCCTCGAGAATACTAATAGAATATCAGCCTTGCACAAAATCCGATTTCTTGAGGTTGTTTATTATATTAATAAGGCTCTGACACGAGGAGACCAAAAATCCCGCCAAAACCTGACATAATTAAATTAATTAACAATTATTGACCAATCAACTTGTAGGGTTTGTTATTCCGGCTTTTACAATTCCGGCTTTTACAGATTCCGGCTTTTACAATTCCATGTGTTACAGATTCCGGCTTTTACAATTCCGGGTTTTACAGATTCCAGCTTTTACAATTCCGGGTCATCCCATTCCCGGTTCCATTCCATTCCCCATTCCATTCCGGGATTCCCCGTTCCGTGTTTTGCAGGTAGCCGCCACTGTGTTATCGTCGTCATTCGGGAAAAATTTAACATTGTGAATGCAACTTTTGACAGCAGTCATAAAAATCTCTTTTGCGCTAATACATGTACCCTTAGTGTCGTCTACATGTTTCTTTACACAGATATTCCCGGGATTATACAGAGAAAGCTATAGAAATAGTTGTTAAAAAACATGTCTCTTGAATACTTTTAGCGAACGTATAGCCTACAGATTATTTGTTTCAGTGTACGAAACGGTTATAGTAAATAAAAATTTCAATTATTTTCATTTTAAGAGACCCGCGAGGATGTGGCCTGCGATTCTGTCCAGGCAACAGTAACAGCAACAAAAGTAGAGGGACCAGAGACAAAAGATATTCAACCACTTGAAAATAGTAAGAAAATGTATCTTAAATTATCGTATTTCTATAATACCTTCCTTCCATAGATGGTGAACTTCTACTTTCCTTCAGTTATATATGATCAAAGTCTGGTTTTGTATCATATTGCAAACAGTTAATTCTCAATCCAGATTAAGTTTGAGGTTACAGCAAATATTCATTGTCACAATGTGACATGGTAGGCCTACTCAGACGACAAATTCAATGCTAGCTATATATAGTGCAAAGGTTCATTATAGATTTTAAGATCTGGCAACTTGATAAATATACAACGTTAACTAAAGTCTTTAAAATTGATATTTTAGGATATCAAAAAACAATTAATATACCATCATAGCAAAATAGCATGGAAAAAATGGTAAAGCTTTGAGCACTTGCACTCTAGATGTTGACCACTACAATACAAACACAGAGTAATGCCCTTTGCAGACATACAAGTATTGCATAACTCTGAAAGTACATGATAATGTGGTTAATAACAACAATAAATTATAGAAGTTCTAAAGCCCTATAGCATAAAGCTTAAAACAGTAGAGGCAATAACCGCCAAAACTGTAACAAGATCTGGAAAAATGATGAATAAACATAGCGAGCAGTAAACTGCTATGTAATCTTTGTAAAGTTCAAATCGTAAAGGTCTAACGTTGCCAAAATATTTTATGTCATTGACATAGCACACAAACTGACACATAAACTTAGGTCATATTTCACAAAACACAAAGACAAAACAGCATCAAAACAAACAAAAAATGCTATATACATGATACCTTGCAGAGACTGTCCACAACGATACATAGGTCAAACCTCAAAGAAAATTGAAACACGAATAACTGAACACAAAAACGACATAAATCGATACGATTATAAATCACTACCTGCAGCACACACATATGACAACAGCCATACCTTCAACTGGACAGAAACCGAACTATTAGGACGAGCACAAACAAAACACGCACGTGAATTTAAAGAGGCATGGTACAGTATAGACGGTAATACAATTAACCGACACGTTGAAATTCCCACTATTTACTTACAACTTAAAACAACACGTAAATGTCCTACAATAACAACGATACTATGACTAATACTAACTTCCAAATAACACTTCCTTCAACATCCGCCACACAACAATCCAAACATTCCAATGACGCTATCCCTAGCAGCGGAGTTCACTCAACCATGACAACGCATTCTTCAACCAGCAATGAGATCAGATCATGATCATCCCCTGAACAGCCAATTAGACGGTCTCGACGTATACAAGAACGTAGCAACACCGCAAAACTTTAATTAAATAATGTACATATGTAATCTTAATCTCAGTATTCTGAAGAAGGCTCGAAGTACCGAGTCGAAAGCTCAATAAAAAATATATTTTAATCCGGAGGGCTTTAATTAATTATAATATGCCTGGATTACAAATCTTTAAATAAATATAAATATATATATATATATATATATATATATATATATATATATATATATATATATATATATATATATATATATATATATATATATATATATATATATATATATATATATATATATATATATATATATATATATATATATATATTTATACCATGAGCTCGAATCGTATATGAGCTGATAGCCGACGATGTGCGTAGCACCAAGTCCGGCTATCATAAGCCATATACGACGAGAGCGAATGGTATAATTGTTTTATAATATAGTCTAATAGCCATTAACTGAAGCAATATAATTAATTATCCTCTGTAACAATGTCTTGACAATTTGTTCGGCCAAAAACCGCTTGGCCTTGAAAATTTGAAATATGTATACTTTTGTTTTACAACTCCAAGACGAAGTCAAAGAAATGGTTTTAGAACACGTATATCTCACAAAAAAGCTCAGATATATTATACAGATGTTTGGTAGTATAGTAAGTGCTTGCTGACTGCAAATTCATTTGTCTGTCGTTGCAAACTTTTCTGAACAATTTATATTCTCAATGAACATGTTTTTTTTGCTCTTGTTTCGGTATTAATTCTTTAAAAAACTTGTATTTAAACTAATTTCTATGTAATAAATGTATTTTGCTAACCTGTCGAATTTTTTTGAGAGTTTTTCCTTGTACTATTATCTTTCTCAAAGCGAATATTTTCCTTTTTTCTGCTTCGTATTTAAAACGAAATTAACGTTGGAAATAAAACGAAAACATTTAAAAGACATCTTGAGATAACTGTAAAACTTATTCTAGTTTTATGTTTGTATACTATAATTTTAAACAATATCGCATTTACACTGGTCTTTCGCGTGCTTATTTCGCCTGCATGCATGTCGTCTTTGTGTATATTTTTGTCACTCTGAATAAGTCCATATAATAAACAGACCATTTAACGGTTGCGAGATTTAAAGCACGCGTAGGAGTGTTTTATCACATATAAAACACGACGCGTAGCGGAGTGTTTTATATGTGATAAAACACGACTACAAATGCTTTAAATAGCTTAAAAAACGACTCATCTTATACGAGTTCATTGGCGAAGTAATTTTTAAAATAAACTTTGTCTAAACCAAGAAAATCAAAGCTAAAGTTTATGTAAATTAACATGATTTTTTATCACGTATAAAACCACGACACGCTTATGATTTTTCTTTGTGTTTTGCTCCTGCATTATTAATGAGTTTTTTAAATATATATATGTATATATATATATATATAGTCATCCACCGTATATGAGCTGTTCTATAATCTGATTGGTTGAATTACTCGCCGTATAGTCAGCTCATATACGGCGAGAAGCGAAAAACAAGATGGCGGCCGAAAAACTACATGAGTTTGCGAAGCAGAATGAGGAAAATATTCTCTTTCAGAAAGATAATAGTATAGAAAAACTCTCAAACAAATGTATTACATAGAAATTAGTTTATATACAAGTTTTTTAAAGAAGTAATACCGAAACAATAGCGAAAAAAACATGTTCATTGAGAATATAAATTGTTCGGAAAAGTTTGCAACGAAAAACAAATGAATTTGCAGTTAACAAGCACTTACTATACTACCAAACATCTGTATAATATATCTGAGCCTTTCTGTGAGATATACCGGTTCTAAAACCATTTCTTTCACTTCGTCTTCGAGTTATAAAACAAAAGTATTTGAAATTAATTTTCAAGGCCAATCGGTTTTTGGCCGAACAAATTGTCAAAACATTGTAACAGAGGATAATTAATTATTTTATTGCTTCAGTTAATGGCTATTAGACTATATTATAAAACAATTATACCATTCGCTCTCGTCGTATATGGCTGATAGCTATCAGCTCATATACGACTCGAGCTCATGGTATAATTGTTAAATATATAATATATATATATATATATATATATATATATATATATAATATATATATATATATATAATGTATATATATATATATATATATATATATATATATATATATATATATATATATATATATATATATATATATATATATATATATATATATATATACATCGAGCAACACTACGCACATGCATATATTTGTACTAGTATAGTCATCTTAAAATTTTGGGAAAACATACTAAAATTACTTAGCATAGTTTTTCGACCAGAATAACCAGATGAACTGAATATAAAAATATTTTATTGCATATAGCGGCATTTCTAACGTGGTGCCTTTGTAATATAACACGAAGCAGGAATAGGGCACGTCTTCCTCTCTCTAATTCCAAACGGTCCCCATCCACCCCTTTTCTTGTAATAGGAGAGCCCCTTGACACAACCAAAACAGTATATTTAATATTTACCTCTTGCCAATTAACCAATTTTACCGTTAACCACTTCATGTGGATAAAATTGTAACAATAGTCATAATACAATTTGGTGCATGGTGATTTGACGTTTTTTGCTGATAAATAATAGAATTTATGTGTTTTCTAATTTGCCAATCAGACAAGATGTTGAAAGACAGTGGATCTGGTTCGTTATCAAAGTCAAAAACTCATTCATCATCAAATAAGAGGATATCATCTAAAGATAAGCGTATTTTGAAACAAATATATTTTGCAGGTACATGCCGTATATATCTTTAAAATACTAATTAAAAATTCGTACGTAAACCTTGTGGCAAATCATGTCATCCATAATATGTCACGTGAAGCAATTTTATAGCTGATAAAACTTATCTTCATTCGTTATATAATTGTTTATATAATTTATTCGTTATATAATTGTTCATCCTAATTAGTATGATTATATAATTGTGCATCCTATAATTAGTATGATTATATAATTGTTCATCCTAATTAGTATTCTTTTGTAGTCGTATTTTAAGCTATTCAAAACACTCGAACTCGCATTTTATCATATCTAAAACACTCGGCTGGGCCTCGCGTTTTAAATATGATAAAACACTCCTTCTCGTATTTTAAATACTACATAAAATGTATTTTTATTTTTGCTTCTGCTTTAATTTCTATTCCATGCCAACATTAGCATTTTCCATTTTCTTTGGAATCTTATCACCGCGTATACCCTTAAAATAAGCAATTTAAAATAGGCGAAATACTATATTTGGGCGTCACCGAGCCAATGCATATAGATATTTTATAAACAATACATCGTGCATCTAATTATTATGCAATTCAAAAATTGAAGCCGTGATTGAAAACTTAGGATATTCCCATGAAATGAGAAGATTCGTACGTTTTCTATTTCTTAAACAGGGAAGTTAAATATTATGTTAAACCTATTCCAAATACATTTTTAAACTATTCAAATAATAAAAGTTAGTATAATTACATAGGTGATTATTGAAAATTCTCCACGCTGATTGGTTGCCGTTGAGGTGATTATTACGCGATAATCACCTAAGCTATTTTCAAAATGGCGGCCGAAGCCTTTTTGTCAATTAAATGACGAAGAGATGTGTATTTTTTTATTTTTTCCATATAATCACCTATGAAATTATACTAAAACAATTATTCACCTCAGGCTCGGTGATTATCGTGAATAAAAACCTCGACTTCGTCTCGGTTTTTATTCACCGATAATCACCTCGCCTTCGGCGAATAATTGTTAATTATTGTTGTTTTTTAAGCGTTTATTAGCGAGTGTCAAATGGTATAACATGCATGCACTGGAATATTCTTGGCTTCATTTTTACTAAAAGAGATGCGCTATCTAGTGTATATAAGATATCTATAAGCCAATGCTGTTTGTTCAATAATCATTATATGCTGGATTTTACAGTGGCGTGCTGGCAGGGGGGGCCGGGGGGCCACGCCCCCCCAGCTGGCAATTCTTGGAGGGCGCAAAAATGAAAAGGGGGCGCCAAATTTTGAAAGTGGGTGGGAAAAAACGCATTTGCAAAAATATAGTTACTTCCGCCAAGAAAAGATGTGTTTAATTCATGGGCTTATAGACAGACTGAGCGCATAGACTGCAACAAAGTGATACATTAAATTGCAGACTATTTTGTCTAACCGTATTTGCTAATTTGCTAGCCTACCTCACGGCTCACACAAAATCGTTCATATATGATCAGTGATCACACGCAATGTCTCATTGCCGGAATATTGGTCAGGTTTCGGAGCGGTCACGGGAATTATGCCCTTTTTTTGCTGGTATTATGCCCTTTATTATGCATCACGAGAGCGGCGCAAATTAGATAGTTTTTATATGATAATTTTAAGTTGTGTACGCAATTTAGTTGTTTGTGCAAGAAACATCATGACTCATGAGTAATGTAAGTAATAAGATGATGCTGAAACGCGCCCTTTTGGCAGCCAAGCAAGGAAACCTTAAAATGCATATGCGTGGGGTCCGTGTGTTATTGTATAAAGGAGCTGTAAGTTGTAAATCTATTCAGATCACTAGATCAGTAGAGAATATAATTGGGATTAGATTAATCGCTGGAATTAGTCAGCATTGCCCAATTCAAGTACTACTACTAAATTCTATAACCAAATTGCAAATTTCGACGTTATAATCCCGTTTCCTGACCATCAGATTTCTGTCAAACCTTCCCCACAAAGTCCAGGAAATGGCATTTCAGAGACCCTAAATTCAAAAATTTTCCGAGGGGGGCATGCCCCCGGACCCCCCTAGATAAACCTCGCACCTGCGGCGCTCGGTTCGTGCTTTCGTCCCTCGTTTATCAAGCGTTACAATATAGGGGCGCATATTAGTTCATAGCCGACTGGCCTCCCCAGAAAAATAGTACCCAGCACGCCACTGTGCTGGAATGACCAACATTATTTATCGGTTAATTAACTTGCAGATTTTGAAAAATTAAATGGCTATTATGTATATATGCACGATATGCCATCCATATAAGTTAGAAAACCAGTGGCGTAGCCAGAACGATATATATATATATATATATATTCGTTATATATAATTATATATTCGTGTTCACATTCCATAAAAACAATTGATTTCAAAAGAAATTAATAAAGCAGAACACGAATATATGAATATGCCCCCCCCCCAATTATCGTTCTGGCTACTCCATGCACTGTAGAGAACTAAAACAATTGAAAGTTATGAGGAGTTCTTTTTTCATCCCTCCCTTGCGAGTTAGATCATGTAATTTCCATGCACTATATAATACATATAGTAGTATATCAAAGTATAGGATATTGGATCGAATTTATGCACATAAACAGTCAACTTTGAATGGTAATTAGCACAGCATGTTATTAACAAAAACAAAATTAATTGGCTTAATATTCTACATGTTTGAAAAATTTCTTTCAACATTATTTAGAGGAAAGTTATTTAACGAGCTCTACATCTGAAGGTAAAATAAATGGTGACGTTAAAAGGAGATGCAAACAGATTATAAAAGCAATATATCTTGATGAACCTGAAACTTTGAGAAGTTATATTGACAGTGGTAGGTTAACAAATCTGTACTATTTAAAGCACGCGTAAGGAGATGACATAAAAAACGACCAATCTTATGAGTTCATTTGGCAAAGTAATTTTAAAAATATTCGTTATTTATCCGAGAATATCAAAGTTTATGTAAATTTACATGATATATTTTTATTACATACTAAAACCACCGACACGGCAATGATTTCCTTTGTCTTTTTCATAAATTATTAATTAATTTTTTAAGGTTCAATAAAATGGTAGCCAAGTCCATTTATTTTAAATCTCCATTTCAGTGAATTTAAATGAACGTAATATTTCTCAACTTATAATATGCATGCCTACAATTATATTATTTACCGGCTGCAATCTTTCAAATGAGGAAAGCCTGTTCCCAATGTCTTGAAAACGCTCTGAGCATGCAAGAAGGGTGTAGGACGTTTTAAAAACCGAGGGTGGTAAATAACGAGTTTATTTTTAGCAGATGTTATAGTAAAATTAAATTCATTAAAATTCCAGTGTTGCATGCATGCGACCTTAATTAATAGCACGTCGTAAGTGTGGTTTGTCCGAACATTCGCACAATTCTTGTGGTCTTAATTAATTAACAATCGAATATATAGTTCATTTGCATTCATTTGAAGGTCAATTTCAGTTTGTTGTTTGTCCAAAGTTTCTGCTATAAATAACAACCATAATCTACGCTATTTAAAATCAATGCAGCTGTACAATTAAAGCGAGGCTGTTAAAAATTGAAAAGTTGAAAGATAACACAGAAAACTCGGAATAACTGGAAAGAAACACCCCAAAAAAGCGTAAAGTTTTAGTACAACATACCAGTTTTGACCTCGCGTTTCGGCATTTATTAGCAAATTCATGTTGCTTCGACAACGACAGATTCGTGTTATTTTGCTTTTTCAATCAAGAACACTGTCTAATCTGTTCTGATTTACGACACTACTAAAACAACAATAAATGAAGTATGGTTTTTAGATTTTGCATTTTTCTCAGGGTCGTTTCACGACAACATGCCTGAAAATGTGTTTTTACTATAGATTTGACTTAATTTGTTGTTTGCATGCAATATATAAATTATCAGTGTAAAGTGCATTACATGAAAATCATATTCTCACTGCAGTTAAACCCTTTTTTGGGATTGCAGATTTTAGGTCAAACATTTCTATTAAATTATAATTTTTTGCTTTTAAAGTGGCTGAATACATGAGCATATATAATATATAAAAATATACCCTTTTTTCGGCGTATTATATATGATTTTGGGATGATTAGGATGATTTTATCTTCAACAATCATTAAATTAATTTGTCTCGAAAATAAATGGCAGCACCTCGTTTTTACAGTCAAAATACAAGTCAACCTTTTACGGCAGTGGCGTAATATTGTGTTACGGGACTCTCGACTTGGAATTCAAAGTGTTTCACTTGAACTAAAATTCGTAGCGTCGATGGGGTGGGGATGGGGATGGGGATGGGAGTGGAGAGTAAGGGGTTAGGTACTTACAACTTTATAATCATAATCACTAATTCGTTTCTCTAATTGAAGAAAGACAAGGCCAATGAGGCACCTGCAGATCCTTTCCGGGCACAGCATTAAGGAGTTGCACTACTGCTTTTTCCCTTCCGTTTGTGTATAGTCTGTTGTCATTTACTGCGTTTTGTTGTGTACAACTAATAAAATTTGAAAATCAGGCTATAGTATGTGACTTCCTTGCGTTTTCACTGTTTATCTAGATTAATTTTGCAGAAATACCGATGTATGATATAAAGCAAACTATAGCTAGTTTAATACGAAGAATGGTATAATATTATTAACATTAGCTTATTATATATACGATCTCATTTCCCAAGGTCGACGACCGTTGCATATAAAAGAAATCCAGCGTCGTATACTCGAAGCAATTGAGTTAAACAGTTTAGAATGTTTGAAAGTACTTTGCGAGACGTACGAAATGAGACCTATCTCACGAAAGAAAAATGCGGATATCGAACTGTTTTACCAGTGGTACGGTCTTGCTTCCTGGCCATTGAACGAGCGTCCGAAAGAAACAGCTTTGCACGTCTTACCAAGCAAGTCCAATTCTGAAAAAGCAATGAAGGTTTTAGATGAATGCGGATCGAAGTTCGTAACTGATTTTTTGGACGTTGAGGATAGTCATGGATCTACACCACTTCTTCGGGCAATAAAGTGCAACAATATTGCAGTAGTCAAATGGTTGTTACGTAAAAAGCCGAATGTAAATAATATAAACAAAAGAAATGTACATGACGAATCTCCCATTTATGTTGCAGCCTTGAATGACCATGTCAATGTTATAAAAGAAATTTTGGAAACGTGTAAGTGTTTATACTGTTTTATACGAATATATTTATTTTAACGGCGAGGAGAGCACAAACTGAGTAAGGATATTGATGACTATTGGTTTCCCAAAAGTTTGCAATTATTTGTGGTTTGTGAAGTGGACAGGATTGCACATTAGAGGGTGTACCCCCCCCCCCTCCCCCCAGCACTCGAAAATCACAAAAGTTGGTCTCAGTTTTATTTGCAACTGAATTAGAAGTCGGTACCCAATTTCTGCTATGAGAACTGTTTAATCACAAAACAGAAATGTCTAGTGTAGACATGAGCAATTTTCTCATCCAAATTGTTCAATCCGATCTAGGAAAATGCAGGAAATGGCATTTCCGAGCCTCAATTGTGCAAATTTTCCCGAGGGGAATATGCTGGACCCCTAGCTTTCACCACTCCTATATTTTTACTTTGTCAAAAAATTATTATTTTTCAGGAAAAATCGCTTGCATCTTTTTTCTTGTTGTTTATACCAAATGTATTCTTGGAATAAACGTACAAAAATACAACTGTGCGTAAAGAATTCGAACTTTGCAATTCCACTTTCTATGAATGCCTTAAATTCTGGGGAAAACTTCAGGTTCGTGATTTAACTAATCAAAATGCCTTATATATCTAGATTCTAAACCCGAAGAATTACGCTCTAACCTTCTGGAAATTATGAAAAATATCGATGGAGAATTAAACATTAATGGTCATTCAATTCTTTACCCAGCCTCTCTGAGTGGCAAATCAGAAGTACTAAATCTAATTATGAAAGAAAAATTGTGGGAGGATTTCCTGAAACAGGAGAAACAGTTTAAGACTATTGACCGCAATAAGTGGCAAGAATTTTTTTGCAATGTTTGTGCTGCAGGATGTAAAGATCTTGCTAAGATCATTTTGTTAGACGATCCTGATCTTGTGAGAGGAAGCAATGGAGAAATGAGCCCTCTTATGAGGTAAGAAGGAAATTAATGTTTTTATTGTAAATGTTGTATGCGCGTAGATCGTAGGGCGAAACCCGTGGCGAGGGTACCAATTCTGCACGACACCAAGGGAAAGGAAAGCTAGCGGATTGAAAAGTTCATCAATTATTGCGGTCGGGCGTGGGTGTCATTGGTGGTCATCCCACTGATCTAAAAAATATGGCGAGGTGCCAAGCATTCATGGTGTAACTTTAAGAATGACATTGGCTAAATTTAAAAGTCTCCTTAATCTGGCCCCTAGGTACCTAGGGCGAAAAGCTCCCCGAAGACGTGGCACCATGCATGGAAAAAGTTTAAAGATTCAATAAATTTATTAAAAATAGTAGATTTTAGTTTGACAAGGTTTTCAGAAAGATTAAACAGTTTCTAAAGAATCTAAGCAAATAAATAGTATAGCAATGAAGTAAGAAAAACTAATGATTTTTTGTGTAACAACAATCATGTTCTGTAACAAATTTAAATTAATTAAGCTTATGATAGTCGAATGAAACCACATATACCCAAGACACTGCACGGTCCTCCAAATGACGATTTAAAATTGCATGCAGTTGAACCGAAAGTGTATAGATTTAACTGTAACAATCCTTTATTCACATTTTACATGCATATATGGGCGCAAATGCCAGGATCTGGCCGGTGATCAGTTCAATATTTCGCTTTGGCAGTATATTTTAATTTTTCCATTATTAGCTATATCAGATATAGTTCAACTGCAAGTCTGCATGCAATTTTATCCGGTTGAGAAAGAACATGCCCGTCATTTTGATTCGCAAACAATTAGCGCTATGATCTAAAATTGTAACCGACGTTATGATCTTAGTTCACAACCATACACAGCCGAACCATCCATATCAATTGATCATTATGTTTTATGTTTTGTTAATTTTCACAGGGCAGTTGAAGCAAATCAACAAGAGATCGTTCAGCTCTTTTTTGATAATATACAGGATGAAGACTTCTTAAATGTCATTAAAAGTTGTGACAAATTGAACAGAAATGTTTTCCACTATGCTGTGAAGAATTCAAAAGTTCTGAAAGATCTTCTTGATAAGTTTAGAGAGGTAGGAATGTCTAAAACTGCTAAGTGATTTACTTTATACTGTCCGTATATAGCTTTATTAGTTTTGTTTAATAAAGGACATTGGCAATAAAAAAATATAGTTTAGTTCATTTTAAAGAACTCTTAAAACTATATATTAAAGTAATTAAACTCTATTATTACTAATTTTTTATATCGTGCTTAGTTTGCAAAATGTTTTGACTGAAAAAAGTGAGCTGTTTGCTATCTTGGATTATTAAGGATATGCATGCATTTTACGTCAAGAGAGGGGTCACGCTAATATGATCCAAAACTTCGTTTCCTGTTGGTGTTTAAAATTTAGAAATAATTAAAAAACATTTCAAACAATTTTGGATTGATACTCGGTCATTTTAGAGTAGTTTTAAATGGTTAACCCAACACGTGACGTCATAAAAACCATAGTTAATTAATGAGGTGAAGAATAGTCCAAGATGGCGGACAGCTCATTAATTAATTCGGTCTAAATATTTCGAGAACTAAGGAAGATATGACAAATCGGTAATATAGTTTAATATATAATTTTAAGAGTTCTTTTCAATGAGACAAACTATTTTTTTATGGACAATGTCCTTTACAACTGTGATGTTAAATTAATTATATGTTCAGTGTTTATACTTTAGCCGCAAACCAAAGTACCTGCATGGGGGACACGTGCAGTGTTTGCTTAAGTAAAAACATTTTTAACTATTTTTCATATATTATGCGAATCAGGTGAAATTGTATTAGAAATTGCATCCCCTGGCCAAGATTCGAAATTATAAACGGCTTCAGTCACAAAAGCGAAAACCACATACTGTATGAACTGAGCACATGCTGTGCCATACATGCAAGCACCAACGAATGAAGACCAAGAATTTTGCGTCAAGGAAAATGTTTGTTTTGTGTTAAAATTTTAATCTTTTAAATTTCGTAAAACGTAAAGTGGAGTGGAAAAACTGTTTACTGTCCGAAAATCGGCCAACACACTTTACAGTTAAGTGAAGACAATAATTGGGCTGTTGATGAAATGGATAATGATAATTAAACTCCTATAAAGCTCGCATGCAGCTGTTGGAGCATTTTCAGAAATGTATTAGCCTAACTTTACCTCTATTTGTTAATATTCTCATGCCGCCTATGCACACTTTATATAGTTAAGCAAAGATTATGAGGAAGACTATGGGGCTATTAATGGAATGGACAATGATGATAACACTCCAATAAAGCTCGCAGCTCTTGAAAACCTTGAAGAGGTATATAATTATCTAACTGTGCATTACTATTTTAGGATATTTTCAAGTAAAGAAATAAAATATTCCAGTTGGCAGTCCAATCGAAATAATTTAGATTTTGTTGGAACTTCATTCTACTATATATGTGTCCAATTATTTATCTCACATTAATTTTTTGCTACTCGCACTTAACACAATCGTTTTGTCAATACGTTTAAGGCGTGCTGTAATATAAATGTCTTCGTTTTCTGATAGAGTTTTGAAATGCTGTTAAACTACGCCACAAGCGAAGAGGATTTATTTTCCGCTAATCTCATTCACACTTTGAAAAGCAAGGTAATTAGCGCCACCAAGAGATTACGTTTTCTTTTCGGCTTGTTTGTATGTGTGTGTATTATTTTGTCAATAACTTAGGCACTACCCTAGGGCCTGTTTATATGATCCCGCCTAGACGGGACGGGACGTTTTTATCCCGCCTATAGACGGGAAACTCGCCTAGTGTTTATATGGACAAAATACTTTGCCGGGATGAAGCCATTTAAGTGCTTGACGTCATATTTTTGTTGCAAAAAAGGCATTTACGCATGTTCAAAAGGGAAAAGTTCATCCCGGGATGAAGTGTTTACATTTTGTTTATATGGGAATTTTTTATCTCGTTTAGCCGGGACCCGGCATCTGTTGCCGATATCCCGTCTAGGGATAAGTGGCGGGATCATATAAACACTCTTTAGAATTTGTATTACGAGCGGGATCTCGGTAAGCATCCCGTCCCGCCTGGCTGGGATCATATACTGTAAACAGGCCCTCAATTCGAGAACGATCAACTAGTTTGAAATGCAAATTTGAGGAGCTATTAAATGGCAATTTGAAGAATGCAAATTTGTGAATTGACAAGTGTTATGGGATGTTTTTCCCTTTTAAAAAAGACGCGAGACTCGGCGATAAAAAGCAAACAAGGCGGAAAAATATGGCTGAAGTAGTTGGGAAATTTGCTTTCAAGTTTTAAGGCCATGTTACACGGTGCAATTTTTCTTGCAACTTGCAATGCAATTCTACTCTTGAGAGATATAAAATTACCAAATACGAGTCTTCATTACACTCCGCTGATGTTTTCTCAACATATCGAAAATTCTTCACAGATTTCGTAATTAACATCTCTCTAGAGTAGAATTGCATTGCAAGTTGCAAGAAAAATTGCACCGTGTAACATAGCCTTTACACTAACAAAATTTTTAATTCTACCTATATTGGTTCCCTGAAATAGCATTTTTAGGCGATTTCAGTCATTTTGAAGCTTTGTTAGACAGTTAGTTAGTTAAAGGATAATACAGGTCCTAGACTAAATAATTTTTTTTGCGTAGCATGTATAATTTTTGCTTTGACTGTATTTAAGATAATGCATGATTTACTCCACAATTAAATCGTGCGCATATGCTTAACTATTCGATAGTTTTCTTAACTTTTGTGCTTAAGTTTGGTATTCGACAATTTTTCAAGAAATGTTTACACACCTCCCGGTCTTAAACGATAATTTTCAATTTAATTTTTTTTGTTTGTTTCAATTACCTTAAATAATTAAATAGCCATGTTTTTGTTTACAATTTAGCATTTAAATTTCTCGCCATTTTTTTATTCACGCGCATACGCAAACGTTTTTTTGCGGTGTTAGGTTAGGCCTGTTTTATATGCATGTCGAATTTAGATCGCGTCGAATCATAGGGTCGAATGTAATTAAAACACTAGATAATGAAGATTGAGGTCTATCGTCTCATTATCTATTGTCTTAATTGCATTCGATGCGATCAAAATTCGACGTATAAAACTGGCCTTTACTCACACTCAACACACTTTACTCAACCTCAGTCTGATTGAAGCTTCTCTTGAGTGTCAAATCTGTTTTTGAATAGCTGCAGGGTGGGTAGTCACACAGTAAGGTATGATACTAGCCCTCCAGCTACTCAAAAACAGGAATGACACTCGAGAGAAGATCACATGCATTGAATTTCCACTCAGTGAGTGTGAGTGTGCTTTTAGAATATAAGCGTTGGTCTTCCAAAATCTGTTGCTTAATTGTACAAAACAATAAATTACAGATTTATAATTCTTAACAAAAATTCATAAAAAAAATACAAAGGAAATCATATAATACTTTTTGTTTGTGGAAACACCACGTAATAAACACAAACTTATGAACTAATTACCGTGAAACTAATTACCGTCAACGAGCTCGTTGATGCGAAATCCTGATGATTTACATTACATTTCTGGGCATATCGGTGATTTATTTTAAGATCTCCGGTTTTATGTACCAGCACACCTAAACACTGTCACTGAGCAATTGGGATCGCCCGATTGATACATGAACTCTGAAATGTTATGCATAATTTTACATGAATGATAATAATACTGAAATTAAGTGATCTGAGTGTTTTAACCTATAGCATCCGAATTGCTCAGTGATCAACGTGCTATAGTACGTTAAAGGCCTTTTCCATTGTAAGGTACCATTTGTCCCGAGTGGGCCGGAGCAATGCGACTGTAATGGAAAAAGGCATGAAAACAGATGCCTTATTAGATTCGATTGCAACAGGCGATACTTATAATCAAATTTTTAGCAAGTGATTCGATATAATTTGGACACAAGTAAACTATATTCCCGGCTGCATTGCTGAGGTAACCAGCGACATGTTCATTATAAGTTCTAGTAATCTTCCATTTATTAATTAGGTTCTAAAGAAGCGTCTTCGTAGCTGGAAAGAAAACGATGCCGACGCAGTGGCGACTCTGCTGAATGGAGAGCACGAGAAACATCAACCGTTCTTGGAGGCCGCTAAGGCAGGAAACGAAGATTTAATAAAGTTTTTCTTGGAACAAAATGCGAATCCTTTACAAGTGACGTAAGTAGTAATATATATATACAGGCCGATCAATCCAAAATTTTGAGGTGTAAGGAAATGGATGAAGATATATAATAGATGGTGAAGGATAGGTGGAGGGAAGTGGAGGACTCATTACATATGCATGACGTCACTTATACCGGGTGTCTCAAAAAAAAGTATCGGTGTTTCATTTGTTATACCGTTAAAACTGGACAAGGAGTTTCAATCAAATAGACTTCAGTGAATTCAGAAAGGCCTAACTTAAATTTTGATATATGACTTGAAAATATTTGAGCAATATTGAATGAAATACTACAGTTTCATTTCGAAGAAGCGATTTTGAAAATGCTTAAAATTACATTAAATCGGCCTTTTAAATTAACATTTAATTTAATGCTGTTCTTGTCAACACGACGCACGATAAATAATATTTACACATTCGATGATTTATTCATCTGAAAAAGCATGTCCTTGAACACTTATACAACGTCGTGCTTTGTTAACCATGCCAGATAAAGCGCTTTGTATCATTTGTGCATCTAAATTTTGGCACGCTAAGATAACTGGCTGGAGGAGCTGACTCAAATTCCTAATCTGCTACTCATGCGGGACGTTCCACATTTGTTGCTTCAATTCGAACTTATTAATTGCCTTTGGCATTCGAATTTTTCATTTCCCACGAGGCCAAAAGGTCAAAATGTTTTATGTAAACAATAAAATAATACAAGATTGAAGCTAACTTCTTTAAAATTTTCAATTCTTCCGAAAAAATAACAAATGTCTTCAAAGACATTTAATAGGCCGTTTTAGTCGATTTTTTCGCCAATTTTCAAACCGAACTTTGACTAAAAACATTTATATCTCGCCCAATATGAAATTAATGCTCTAGCACTGTATACCAAATTTTAGGTTAGCATTTTCTTAATACTATAAACATGGGCGTACCGGAAGGAAAAAATTAGGGGGGCGGAAAGAAAATTGCCCGACTTTTCGAATTCTGCCCCCCCCCGGTCGCCAAAAAAATTTCGACCAGTATACCATTTTAGGGGTCAAAAAATTTTTCCGGACAACCAATTTTTTTAGGAAGATAACACAAATTTTCGAAAAATCGCAAAATTTGCCAAAAAATTGACTTAATTTTAGACAAAATTGACTTAATTTTAGACAAAATTGACAGAATTTCTCCCATTTTTTTTATTGCAAGCCAAAATTGCCCGACTGTTGATCGAATATTGCCCGACTGCCCAAAAAACTGGGGGGGCTACCGCCCCCCCCGCCCGGTACGCCTATGACTATAAACCTATTTTCTTAATACTATAAACCTATCTGAAAGCCATACCTGCTATAGTTTTTACATTATGTTAAATCAAACACCGATACTATTTTTGGAGACACCCGGTATATGCAATGTCGTCATAATAGACGCGTATGTCGTCATAATAGAATCAGTATGGTTGCATGGCTATCATCACATTAGCCTAAGCATCTGTATAAATTTTGGCCACATTTGGTTGAGCGTCATTTCGCTATCCAAGGAATGGCGTGCAAGCATGGAAAACCAACAACTTCTTCGGCTACAAAACATGGCACATTTTGAAGATTGTTACATGCATACGAAGGCTGTTGGTGCTTTCCGTAGGGACCGTTGTGTATATCAGATTTCGTGTGCCGGCCCTACGCATCATAAACCGTTGCGAAACGTTTTATGGTTAAAAACAAAATGATGCAAAACTACGGGCGACCATACTTTATACAGATCGAGAATTCTTGCAAATTTTGGCAACAGGGAAATGTATTTGAAGGCCAAACTAAACTGTCTCTTTTACTCAGTGCTGCATGCCCCAAGGGAAACGATACTTCACCTCGTGTGATCAACACTGGCGTCGTGATCTTCATCAGTAATCCACTTCAAAAACATTTAATAGTACTAAATATAATCCTAATGGCGCGAAATTTAAAAGTTTAAAAACGCAATTTAAGTTTGTGGGCGAGAAATTTGTTGTGTTTTATCGATGGTCTAAATATCAGAAAATTTACTCAATTTTAAGTCTTTTAAATAAGTAAATAGCTGCTGAAACTGTCATTTTTTGGCACTAATGCTTATCACGCATTTACATAATTTGCATATTTTTTTGCGTGTGTTGGTGGTATGTACTCAGGTGAATATAATGTGAATATAAACTTTCAAATTTCCGACATACCACTCCATTTGCACTCGAAAAGACGGTTTTTAGCTTTTTTAGGCCAAAATTTCCGAAAATTCGTCAATTTTCCGTGAAGGTGGGGGGGGGGGGGGGGGGGGGCGCTCCCTGCCCCACCAAGATTTCCGCCACTGGGTATGTATCTTGGCGTCTTTTTAGGACCGGTATATGGTGTCTGAACAGGGGCTTCTGAACAGGGGGATGATTCTGGAAAAGCCATCTTATTTTAAAAGCCAAAAGCCGATTTAGGTGATGAGAAAAAAGTTTGCTTTTCCATACAGCTGTAAACGATTTCTTGCATTGGCTGCTCGATATCAATCACCCTTGCATTTGCAAGCGATGATTGTTGATAAGACTGCGAAAACTTTACTATTCCTTAAACCTCCCCGAGAAGTATGTTGGTCTTAAAGAGTCGATCTTGGTAATTTGTTGTAGATTGATTTTAAATGTTGTTTACCGGCGAAAATGATGAACTTTGTCTTGTCATGTATGATTGAGCGTGAGAAGGTTTCTGTTAAGATAATTGGAGAGAGATTGAAGGTCGGAGTTCAGTTTTGACTAAAGTTTCAAAATATTGTCCGCAAAGCAATAAACTGAGTGCGCATGCATATCATCAGCCGTAAGGTATTGCTTCCTATAGTCGAACAGGATGCAGGTATTCCGTATAGACACTCAATTAATCGTTTGGATAGCGAAATGACGCTCAAACAATTTTGGTCAAAATTTATATGGATGCTTAGAGTATGGATAGCTAGCCTAATGATTGTTTCGTCCGAACTTGTGCAGTCAGATCGGCATATATTACTACCAAAAAAGTAAGAGTTAGTTATATTAGTAGCTGATCGATTTTTTCTGTGCACGTAAATGATTCAACAAATACATATAGTTCAGGATTGTTCTTAAATGGAACCTTGACACAATATTACGAATAAAAGTCAAACTAACTCGCTACTGACTAACGTACGAAGGCTTTTTATTGGAAGCGTCGGTTATTTCTTCCAAGTAGTCATGACCGAAACGAAGACAGTTTACTATTATTGGTTTTGACACTGAAAGCATAAAACGAAATCTCTGAAAACTTGTTTTAATTCTTATACATACAGTATACACTGCAATATATATTATGGATAATATCAGTCAGTACGGATCCGACTGAGTTAAGAATGTTCGTATATTCGCAAATGTGGTTTCCTTTGACAGTTGACATCCATTTGCATGCATTCCATATACATGTGTTTTTTCGTATTTCGGAACGTGTCATTTCTCTTTGTTCTCATGTATATACCTTTCCTTCTATGGCATTTCGGGTGTAAAATATATTCAGGATTCATCAATGGGACCTTCAAATATTTTCTTGAAAATAAAGGGAATAGATATTGACATTAACCCAAGAGAAAAACTAATCTCATAAAAGTTTCTTTAAGTATATTCATGGCTGAAATTTTAACGCGAGTAACTATACGTTTATTTAACACCAATGAAACTGGTTGCGATTATGTATTTACTTTGTCACGAACACCTTGCTCCTTTGGCCGATATAGGCATGATCGTGGCGAAACTGCGCTTCACCTTGTTGTACTTTCTGGAAACCTTAACGTCTTGAAGTACTTGCTGAAGAAAAAGGAATTCCTAGAAATGATTAATTCCACAGACGAAGAAAACATCTCTTGTGCTGGTTACGCCACACAGATCGGTCATGCGGAAATTCTAAGATTTCTGCATAAGAAGGGCGCAAAAATGAAAAGTGATAAGAAAACGGGAAGACTCAACATATTAGATTCTGCATATGGTTATTTTAAATGGTGCGAAAATTCTATTGAAGAACTTATTGCCATTTGTACACCTCAAGAGCTTAAAGAGGTAATAATAACTTTATTATAAAATATTAATAAACGGCGTTTATTTTCGGCCCCGTCTTATCCCTGTTCGAAATTTGAATAGATTCTGCCTGTTATTTGCATTCTTATTGATATCTTATATACACTAGATAGTGCATCTAATTATTTTGCAATTCAAAAATTGAAACCATGATTGCAGACTCGGGATATTTTCATGGAATGAGAAGACTCGTATGTTTTCTATTTCTTAAACAGGGAACATAAACATTAAGTTAAACCTATTCCAAATACATTTTCAAACTATTCAAATGATGAAAGTTATTGTTGTTTTTTAAGCGTTTACAGTATAAGCGAGTGGGAAACTCCAACATGGCCGACAACTATTCAAATGGGGTAACCGCTGGAATATTCTTGGCTTCAATTTTACTGAAAGAGATGCGCTATCTAGTGTATATAAGATATATGTATGTAGTGTATATATATATTCTGATTTACATAAACTTCAGCTTTGATTTTCTCGGCTTAGACAATGTTTATTTTTAAAATTACTTCGCTAATGAACTCATAAGATGGGTTGTTTTTTAAGCACGTTAAAACATTTGCATCCGATCTTTATCTGATATACAAACTCTCGCCTTTGTCTCGAGTTTGTACATCAGATAATTAAAGATAGGCTGCTCATGTTTTAACAAGTACTTCAGTAAAACAGTAATACTCGTCATGCAGGCAGTAATGGACACCATGAAAGAGCTTGGTACTCTATTACAAAACATTAATACTGATAATAACAATCTTTTCAGAAATAACGTTTAAATGTCTTTCAGTAGTACGAGCGTTTTGACTCGTATTTGTACATCTTAAACTACATATTTACTTATCTTTGCAAGGATGAAGATCCTGGTTTATGCATCAACATCCTTGCATGAAAATTAATAAACGTGGTGTTTTTCACAGACATTGGACAAAATAATGCATATATTCTAAGGAATAACTTTGGTATTTTTAGTTGTTTGAGGACTCATATTTTGGTGCTGATCATATTATGTCTAAGCTTATTGAAGAAATACCGAACGTTGCCAAGAAGATTTTTGACCAGTGCATTTACAAAAAGCTAGAATTTACGTATAGCCACCGTTCGCCTGGGGAAATTAAAGCCAGAAAAAGGGTGTTATACAACTTCTATCCATTCAAACGAAAAAAACGTAAGTATCAATAGACGTATAATTAATTCAATGGGAAATTCCGTAGTCTATATTTCTCATTTGGTTGGGAGAAGTTGACAAGTTTTATGAATAAAATGCAAATTGTCCTAAAAATGCCTCAGTCCATTATACTTTTGGATTCTTACTATATTTGCTTTATATATATATATATATATATATATATATATATATATATATATATATATATATATATATATATATATATATATATATATATATATTGTTTTACCTGAAAAACCACAACAGTCTGTTTCATCCGTGTAGAAATCATCAGGTGGATGAAACGGATGAAACAAACTGTTGTGGTTTTTTGAGGTAAAACGAAAAAGAGAGAGGGAGAGTGCCTTCATTATATATAAAATAAAAAATAAATCATTAACGCATGTGCATGCAATTTCAATTCATTTTTTGTAATGTGTGTTATAGCATTGTCAGCTACAAAACCTAAAGTGAATGTTAGAATCGTGAACCGTTAATGAAAATTGTTTTCAAAAACTCATTAATAATTCATGAAGCAATTATCCAATCTTGAGTAAGAAATTAGTCACGTGCATACGTCTTTATACCAGCTAAAGAACATTTTAACAAAAAACCATTGTTATGCAAACTATATAAAGATTTTTATATAAAGATTTTTATATAAAGATTTTAATATAAAGATTTTTATATAAAGGTTTGACTTATTATGCAAATGTTTTTGAAGTCATTTAAAAAACTCGCAGGTCGTGTTTTATTAGGTCTAAATCCACTCGCGCTGCGCGCTCGTGGTTTTAAACCTAATAAAACACTCCTGCTCGTTTTTTAAATAGTACATAAATAATTTCATTTTTCTTTTTCGTTAATTAAGGCGATGGTAAGCTTGAAGCAATTAAAAGCATGGTTGATTTCAAAAGAGACAGCCTGTTGGACCATTCTTTGGTTGTACAGTTCTTAAACCAGAAAATGAATTCTCCTAGCATTCGAAAATGGTTTATTTTGAACTTTCTTCTATATGTTATGTTTCTGCTCACTTTAACAACATATGGCGTCATTCAACGTCACGGTAAGAACATTAAAATGCTTTCATATAGGCCTACATGTTTATATTCCCCGAGTTAAATATACTTAATTAAATATGAGAATAATATAACCATCTGCCTTACAAGGGTGGGTTGACTACAAAATTTTTGTAGTTCGCTATAACTACAGCTACTTCAAAAATATGTAGTCAGCTACAACTACTGCTACTTTTGAACAAAGGTAGTTCGCTACTGACTACAGCTATACTGCTTAAAAAATGTAGTGAACTATTTCGCTATTTTGCTACGCTATATTTTTTAGTACAAAGCAATATTTTGTAAGCACTACGTGCTACAGTGTTTAAGAGTACAAATTGACTATTGAGTATTGATTTTAAGCAAACCGTGTCTCAATATCATGCTATTCTATCAAGTTGCTAACAATTTTAAAAAGTAGCGAATAGCGATTTGCTGTTTGAAAAGTAGTCAACTACTCGGCTATACTTTTAGGCAAAATGTAGTTCGCTATAACTATATGTTACTGTTTTAATAAAGTAGTTGAAAGTTGTAGTTTGCTACAGTAGCGAACTACAACTACTTCACTACTATACCCACTAACCCACCCTTGCTGACTTAACATTCCTTTATCCCGAATCTTAACGAATCGTTTCATTAATACAACTCCCGAAATAATTAAAGTAATTAACATAATTAAGGTAGTTCTCTACGTGTAATAGATAGCTTACACCCGTTTTCAAAATTACACGACCTCCCTGAAAAATACTCTTACTTCAAATGTCAGTTTTATGTCACAAGAACTGCTAAAAATAGCAACCGTAAACAAACTGTCGAACGACATTCTAAACCGTATTTAATACCAAAACTGAACAAAAATGAGTTAGATAACTTAGATATACAAACTAAAGCACAATACAAGCCATCACAACAGAAATATTTGCCGTGAATGACTTTCAAAGTTTGAAAAATAACAATTATCCTCGAATTTAGCTGTCAGTATAAAACACGTGCGCTAGACTATAACGGTGATGTTGTGATTTTGTCGTGCTTAAATTTTGCAATAATTCTCACTAAAATATCTTGAAAATCATCGTAAGCCTGTTTATATAAAGCATACAAAGCATATACATCGACAAGAAACCGCAAAACTCAAAGTTTGAACTTCGTGACCCAATGACATAAAACTGACTTGTCAATTACTCTAGCATTTTCGTCCTTGGTCGCGTAATTTTGAAAACGTGTGTAAAACCATAATTGCAAATGTGCGTAACCTTCTACTGCGGGAAAGACTGCATGTCTGGACACAAATTTAATGTACTAACGTGACATTTGGAATTCGAAAAGTTATCATATATAACTAGAAAGGATAACCCAAGCAGTTATCTTTCCTGGAATAAATTTTTTATTGATAAAATATTTTTTATTTCAGGAGAAGCAACTGCTTGGGTTATCTCCCGGTTTTAGGACGACTTATGAAAAATATAAAAATTTTCAAATTTTTAGATTTCTAGTATTTGAAAAACTTCAATTGTTTCGAAGTTATGAGAGTTTAAAAATTGTAAAATCTAACTGTAATATTATTAATCGAACTTTGTGACTTTTATATAGGTTGATTGAAACTAGAGTTGCTTTTATACAAAAAATCTTGTGAATCTATTTTCAAAATTTTACTATTTTTTTAGCAATAAATACAATTTAATTGAATATAATTTAAACAGGTTTAGTGCAGAGTAGTTCTTTATGTAGATATATTTTCTAAGTTCTTCTCTACCAAATTATCAAGCCTTAATACACCCTTCCAAAAGTACGTCACTTTGGCTATAGAGCCTTGTTTTCGTGTGTCTGACATCAGTTAAAGTCCGCGTCTCAAGGTGACGTACTTTCCGGAAGCGTGTATTATACGTGTAATCGAAGGTGTCGTTGAAGGAATTTTTTTTTAATTTGATTTTTAACGTTTCTCACATTGTAAAACAATCGCATTGATAGAATTTTTTTTTAAATGAAGAAATAAAACCATTAAATCAGTACTCCCAGTACGAAATTTTAAATTTTACCCCTAGAAATTTTTAAAATGAAATGAAAAGGACAACCGTAAGGTTTCTTCTATGTACGCTATTGCCATGGTAATTTCAAAACATGAATCTCTTGAGCACTATCTATTATAATGCAAAAACCTGGAGGAACCATTTTAAATAACTCAATTTAACTCACTTAATTAGCATAATCTGTTGGAAAAATGTTATCATACAATACGTGGTTATAAAGCGATCAAAACGTTCACGGATTTTATTTCAAACCGCTACTGAAACTTTTCCCTACCATTCTTTTCAGTAGCTCGCTACTTCAGCCTAGTGCAAACGTTTTCAGAAATTAAAATTCTACTGAATTTCAGAATATGTATAAATAAAAACAATGGAATATATAGATTAAAATTTTTTGCTTAAAGAGTAAAAATTTGACTATAATAAAAAGATAAGTTATAATAATTATTTTTCTTTTTTGTTACTAGATGTACACAACTTGAAATCACCTGAAATGATTGTATTATCCTTTTTTATTTTGACGATATGTGCTTTTCATTTTATAAAAGAAATACTTCAGGTTTGTATACATATATAGTACTAGAAATACTTCAGGATTGTACACATGTATATATATATATATATATATATATATATATATATATATATATATATATATATATATATATATATATATATATATATATATATATAATTTATTTTTAAATGTGAGACTTTTTTACTTTATAGATAGTGATAAATCAGACCAATTACATGCATGATTTTGAAAATTATATCGAGTGGGTGATGTATACTTGTGCTGTAATTTACGTGGTACCTGTTGGAAATACAAAAGCAGACGCGCAGATTGCATGTGGAGCTACCGCACTGTTTCTTGGTTGGATTAACTTCTCTTTGTTCTTGAAAAGATTTTCGTTGTTGGGAATCTACATTATTGCCGCAAAAAGAGTCTTTCTTACCGTGTGCAAGGTACGTTTATATATTGCATGTGTAGACGGCAATCCTCTGCGAGGTAAAACACCGACATGCAATATAAAATGTCTTGATACTCAATCTTTGCGTAAATTCCAAGTGTACTGACCGGGTTGAGCTACCCTGGACACCAGAGCCTTCAGTAAGTAATAAATTGAAACGTCGTGAAGGCTCTGGTTCAACGGGAGGATTCTTTGATTAAACCGCGCCAATCACAAAACAGAATTAGTGGTTTTAGTACAGATTCTGTACCATAAAACCACTAATTCTAGCTGTTTTGTGATTGGCGCGGTTTAATCAAAGAATCCTCCCGTTGAACCTGCAGAGCCTTCACAACGTTTCAATTTATTATTTACTGAAGGCTCTGCATGGAATCCTGGGTAGAGTTGAGCCACATGTGAACAAACTAACAAATATTTTTTTGGCCTCGCGTTGCGACTTTGTCTTTCTCGCTACGAACGTATAAAGCAAATGTAAGCCAGTGCAGTATGTAAAAGGTGGCTCCTCTATCGATTGGCAGGTCTGGCGTATAGGTGCAGGGTTGTATGCGATTCTTTCGTGTATTAGGCAAGTGGCACACCTCTTCAAATTAATGCGAATACCTGAATGCATATTTTCTTGTGAACATCTTGAATAACTATAGATCAGAAAAGTGATGTTTTGAAGGAAGCAAGACTGGGTTCTTAGAAGATTCTGGGATTATAACGTTGTTTATTATCCTTTACACCTTAAGATGTGTTGGTCATCTAAAACTAAACCGAACCGTACTATACGTAAGGTGATGTACAATTACAATCACGATTGTCCTCAACAAAATTTAATTCACTTTGAAACGGTGACATTTGGATTGTTCGTATCCCCATTGGCTCCACTTAACTATAATCTCGATTGCTATGAGTACTTTGTTTGGTGATTTATTCAACCGTTCTTCTGGCTCTTTTCTTCTTTAGCGCATGAAAAAATCGCACTACGTAGGTTCTTACCCGTAATAAACGTGCATGTTAACGTGCTGTAAGAGGTACAGCTAATGATCTTGTCCAGATTAGCCTCTGGTGCTCGATAATGATCAGTATTCGCGAACGAGTGAGTGACGGTCTGGGGGTTCTTTATAATTTCTTTAATAGCTTTCTCTGGAACGTCTATGTACCTGTTGGATTCACAGACCACAATTTTTTGAATTGGCATAGAAATTCGGAACCATTCTACCGCACCGTGTTGGCTGCAAGTTCCTTTCCGTTCAAACCCTTTCGTCAGCCGGCGTATATCTCGAACTCGGTACTCGATATACTGTTTCCAACTCTTGACGTTCTTTGTTCAGTATAATACAGCGATAGAATCTACCCAATAAAACGTTACTTTGTATATCTTGTGATCGAGACAAGGATTCTTTGATGGTGCAAAAATGAGAGCTCGAAGTAGTTCCAGACGGGATACTCTGTTTCTTCGTCGGGGAAACTGGGTTTTTGATGGTATGAGCTTGACTGCTACGTACATGTCCATCCTCGTAGCTTTACCCTAGATAATTTACTGCTGCAAATGCTTGACGCATCGCTGCATCCATAGAGTTGGATTTCCTTTGGCTTGGATCTCCCATCGAAATATAGCATCCAAGTATCCTAACCTTCGCTAAATATTGTAAATTAGACACAAAAGAATTAAATCTTTCTTGTGTAGTTTCCTGTAACTCTTCATCCCAGTCGATCTTGTCGCAGCAGGGTATCTGGAATATCGCTTTCAATCGAAATATGAATGGAATAAGGAAACCCAAAGGGTTGAAGATCTTGGCCGTCAGTTTTAGCCTCTTTGCGAGTGGTAGAGACATGGCATAAGCTCAGGGTATCGATCTTGGCACGAATGCAAGTATTGGTTGCACCAAAAATCACCGGTATTGGGCGGAGACGTCCAAATAGCAGGTGGCAAAATCTCAAATGTTTGATGGTCGAATGCAGCCAGAGAAAACAAACCATATTTCGGTCACTTGGGTTGATTCTCACCATGAGAAAAGATTTTGGAGGTCGGCCGATATTGCAACTTCATTTTACCGAAACTTTATTATACTCGTTAAGAAGTTCAGGTTTCTTTCTTAATTTGTACTGCAGAGATTTCAGCCGATTAGAATAATTGTAATCCGTTGAGACATCCAGTTACTCTACCTTCCAGAGTTAAGACACTTCGTAACGGCGGTTGCATGTCATATATTATAATTGATCTTCTTCATGCAGGAATGACTTTGGTAGCTGGTTTATGGTAGAATCGTCACTGTCTCAAACTCCGATTGACTCAGCTTTCCAGAATTGTTTGAGCTTAGATTTTAACTCATCATTCTCATGGGCAAACGATAGCGGTTTCCAGCTTCCCCAGATATTATAATCAGATTAGTCGCATACGCATCAAGCGAATTTGTTGCTGCGCCGCCATTGACGGGGCCCGACAAAAGCCATCCATGCAATCTTACTGTTTACCGTTGCAGGCTTATTGTCTCTTCGAATTATTTCTCCCGTATAATAAAGTTCCAATAATAATCCGATCCTATCAGAACATCAGTAGAATCACATACACTCATGACCATCAAATTCACTGATCTGCTAGCGCAAGATCTTCGCCGGATACGCATTAATATCCACTACCTTAAAGGTCTGATTCCATGGGCGCTTTTTCTCGGCGAAATGCGAAATATTTCGCCTGTTTCTTTTGAATTGTGGGCAATCAAGTAGAAATAATTTATTGGAGTGGTCGCAATTCAAAAGAAACAGGCGAAATATTTTGCATTTCGCCGAGAAAAAGCGCCCGTGGAATCAGGCCTTAAGAGGCAATGATGAACATATATGACTGGAAAACGTACGGCATGTGGAAAACTTAAATTGCAACAATGCATTTTCACCGTCCCCCTTAGTTAGGCTTAATTTCATTGCATCACAAGTTTTTTGAGCGTGGTCGTCACCAAACGTGTTCAACCGTGGTCAACGTTTGTTGAAATCACATTGTCAGTGCTTGTAGCAACACATTGAGCAGTTTGAAGTACGACGGCTTTCCCCTTGCAAGATGTGCTCGTTGCACTCGTCGCTGCATGTCGTATCTTCACCTGGATTATCATGCAACCTTAGTCTGATTTGAGGCATTTTTTCTTTTGCTGGATCCGCTGGTTTTAGGTCGTTTGCTGTGATCTCGAAAAGTGCATAGAAAACGATTTTCATTAAGCATGTAATATTTTTATGGGAACTAACACTTTCGAAAACGCTGAGTTGAAATCCGAAAACTTCCCGCACCGCTATTTTATCACAAATCTCTATTTTAACCACAAGCCGCTATTTTATCTTCACTAATTTCACACAAATTTTTTTATTTTTTAACGACACGGATGGATGAAGACACACGATTGCATAACTCAAAATGACTAATTCCTATGAACTAGTCTCTACATTGAACAACAGACCGTTTTGCTAGCTTGGATCATTTCGAGTTATGTAATTTTAAGCGCGTTGGACGTAAACAACATATCCTTGTCTATAGAACTTTGGAAAGGTGCCGATATGGCTTTGTAAAATCCTCAGTTCTGGCTGTATCTCTATAAAGTCCAAGGACGTCAATGTTATGTCGTTGGGTTATATCTCTGGGATGAGAAATAATTGCCAATTATACATGCGATCAAAATGTTTTATACAACGATGTAAAACGTTAATCTTATGGAATGGGTCAGCATTTCCATTTCCAACACAGTTTCTGAGATGCATGCGCAATTCAAGAGATAACTTATTATTGCATTTGAACTATTATATCAGTTTGTGTTATTCTGTGCGATAAGCGAATATTATTGGAAAGAAGGCTTTCACACATTTCTCCACTTCGTGGTAAGTTTACAGAACAGATTTTATAGCTAAGCATTGCTAAGCACTGATCTTTGTCTTTGATGTGAACATTTCTTCTAGTTTAAGGTTATTCACTATATTGATCCTGTCGTAATAATAATAATAATATTTAATATTTATATTGCGCAAATTAACATGTTATAGTATATGATCAAATGCGCATAATGTGCATATGTCGTAAGCTTCTACTAGCAGCCAATGGACAATATTTTATTTTAGCGTTGTCTCTGCCGTTACGTTGGCTTCGCATTACTTTTGTTTTAAATGCCTTGATTGCGTTAAAATAGTTAGTTTTCAGGCCAGTGAGATAGCCAAAAGACTTAGCATTAACTTCCTTGTGATTTTACAGAGATATCGCTAAAACTGAGGATTATAGAAGGCGTTATCAAAGTTCTAGACAATTCAAGATATGTTGTTTAGTCCAACACGCATAAGCTAGATTACATAACTCAAAATTATTCGAGCAAAACTGTTTTTTGTTAAAAGGAAAACTGGTTAATAGAACTTGGTCGTTTTCAGTGATATAATCGTGTATCGTTATCGATCCGTGTCGTTATAAACAATGAAAAATTTGTCATGAAATTATTGAAGATAAAATAGCAGTTTGTGAGAAAACTGCGGGTCTGCGGGTCGGATTTGAACTTAGCGTGTTCGAAAGTGTTAGTTTCCGTAAAAATATTTCAGTTCCAAGACATGCTTAATGAAAGTGAAGCAAACGGCCTATTTAGGGCAATTATGTCAGGAACAAATTGATTGATGATGGCCACATTTTTGGCATGATTTGCATTTTTGCACGCTTGTCACACGTGGGCGACTCGTAAACAAACAAAGCAACGCTTGTTCCGTCGCAAAATACCTTTTCTCTTGCATATGAAACTGAATAAAGAAGTCACTGAAATAAACACATCGAATTTTCGCCGGATCTCCCTAATGTTGTTTGGGAAACAGTGCTTGTGCTGTCGGGGTCAGTTAAGTTTTTGTTCTGTTCGAATGTGTGGGGTGATCTTGACTCGTTTAATTTCACTTGGTCGCTTGCTTCTCTCGCTTTGATTTCCTTTCTACTTGTTGCCAAAAGTTTATTGATTTTCCAAATTTCGCTCATAGCCTTTCGTGCACCTTTCAATCCTAGACTATTTGGGAGCTTTGATATTAATATCGGAATTAATAAACATTGCCACATTGATCTGGGGACACACCTAATGCATCTAATTTTCATTGTAAACAAACCGAATAAATGATAATTGTTCATTTGTTCAGGGTTGGATTTTAAGAAGCTTGTCCATATGAGCAGAGAGAATAGCAATAGCTGCATTATAAATTTCTAAGTAGACCTATACAATGCTTTTCTGTGTTCGTTCATGTGGATTATCATATACGCAGGATGACAACTTAAAATTCTATGACAGCTTCAGCGAATTGCGCAATTTGATAAACTTATCGCTGCAAAAGCCATTTCCAAAGTTTGAATCGTTGAAAATATGTTTCATTTCGAACAACCATAGTCCAATTCACCTTTCGGCAAATAGGTCACTTTTTCTATAGATCGTTGTTTTCGTGATGTAATTACATAAACGTCGTTAACATACATCTATAACAATCACATGATGTCGGCGTACATAATTCACCAAAAAGTTCCTAAAGCTAAGGTCTATATAAGTCATGAAAACAGAAGTCTATAGGCAAAGGAATGTATTTTGTGGGAGGGTGCATTCCAGTTCTATTTCAAACCTACCATATATACTTCTCCCCATCCAACTTTCTATGGCTCAACGCCTATTATTTGTATTTATGTATTTATTTTTATCCTAATTTTTACTTTATGTTATTCTAATCGACAGGTGTTACCATTGGTTCTATTATTCGTCCTAGCATTTTCATTGTCACTTTCCCTGCTCATGCCTCTGGATGAAGGTTTTAATAACATGCCCATTTCGCTCCTAACCACATTTGTCATGATGACAGGTGAACTAGATTACCGAGATACCTTCCTGGCTAGCGGACCACTTCATTTCCTACAGAAAATACTTCTTGTCCTATTTATACTTATGATTTCCATCACTATCATGAATTTACTCACTGGCCTTGCTGTTGGCGATGCAAACGAGATAATGGAACGATCAAAAGAAGAGAAAAGAATTCATAAGGTAAATAAGACATCAATAACTGATGGTAAATGCAAACAAATGTATGCTACAATTTAGCTAGATGTCCTGATTAATGTTTTATTCGGCGCACTTCCGAGCCCGCGAGAATTCTGCGCGTCCATGGGTGAGTACAGAAATGTAAACACAAAATCTAAATAAACAACTAAAATTATATTAATAGGAAATTATACTTGTTCTCGAAGTACTAATGAAAAAATCGTACTTGTGTTTGGCGAAGTATTTAATAATACCGCTCGCCTACTACGCGCATTGATTTGAAGGCGATGACTATAGGTTTATTGTAATTTTTAAGCGACTAATTCTATTAGTAGAAAGTTTCAACAGAAAACTAACACACAAATAATTACAAAATCAATTAAAAATTAAAGTTAAATTAAAGCTATTCCAAAATTCAACGTTTTTCTCAGCGGCTGCCGGTTAAGTTTTTCGTCATTGGTTTTGCGACAAAAATAACGTACTTTATGTATATAAGTAATACTCGAATTTAACAGTCAGATATACAAAATAACTTCAATAAAGAAACTCTGTCCTGTTAATTTTAGGGAGTTAACTTAACTTCAGTGGAGTTATTTTCAACTTAATTTTACTCCACATTTAAAGTTAAATTGGACTGAAAATAACTTCACTGGAGTTAAATTAACTTTCTTTAATTAATTAACAGTGTAGAGAAACATTAACGTGTTGCTTCGTGCCGTTTGACAGCAACTATATACGCATGCATGTTTTTAATGTACGGGTTATGATTTAACTTCAATTTAATCCTGACGTAGAACGACTGATTTGAATGTACAATACACATTATGAACTCCACCTTTAAATTTACTATATGAGTATAAATTCTTAAACACGTCCGAATTTATCATTATGATAAATTCGCGGCAAATTTTGAATTTATCATAATAATAAATTCGCGGCACCTAACACTAACACTAACCCCAACTCCAACTCTAACCACTAACCCCTAACCACTAACCACTAACCCTAACTTTTTTAACTTTTTAAATTTTTTTAACTTTTTTAAAAATCTAACTTTTTAAACTTTTCTTGCTTTTCAAAACTCTTCTAAAACTTTTTTAAAAACTATTTTTTTAAAAAACTTGAAAAACTCCTCATCCCCGAGCGCCCAGCCTCCCTTTGGTGCCATTACATTTATTACAAGAAATCTTGTGTAATGCTTGTGGTTTTATGATTAACTCTATTGATAAATTCAAAATGTGCCGCGAATTTATCATAATGATAAATTCGGACGTGTTTAAGAATTTACTCATATAGTAAATTCAAAGGTGGAGCTCATGTTGACAATACACATTATGAACTAGCTTACAGTAGTATGATAAAAATATTCTTTAATTATTTCACTGATATTTAGGCGAAGCTTGTCATGACAATGGAGAGCAGTTTACATAATTTTTTTCTGATTCCACGACCTAATGAAATTGATGATTGCGAAGTGGATTCTCTAGCAGATGAAGAAATGCAGCCCTCGTGGTGGTTACGACAATGGAAAAAGGTATTAATTCATTAAACATATCTTAAAGTTTGTGACATGCAAAACCAAGAGAAATTTCGTTTTGGAAATGTTCAATAGTCTGATCCCCCAAAATAATCTTCGAGCTTACGTACTATTTAAAGTACGCGTAGGAGTGTTTTATCACATATAAAACACGACGCGTGTTTCAAAAACGACTCATCTTATACGAGTTCATTGGCGAAGTAATTTTTAAAATAAACTTTGTCTAAACCAAGAAAATCAAAGCTAAAGTTTATGTAAATTAACGTGATTTTTTATCACATATAAAACCACGACACGCTTATGATTTTGAAGGATAATTAAAGATCCACATAACTTAAGGAGAAATCGCATTAAGAATTATGTAAATTCATATCAATTTCATTTTTAGCTCGCCTGCACTTTGGTGCGGAAGAGCTCAGGGCCGTAGCAAGCGGGGGGTGGGGGGAGGAGGTGGGGGTAATACCCCTGATAATTGCTCATGAGCAATTTCAGGTAGATTTCAGGTAGATTTTCAGGTAAATTCAGGTAGATTTGCAGAAGATATTCGGGTAAATTGGCACGCAAGTTCAGGTAATTCCTAGGACAAGAGAAAGTTAATTTTAAAAAATAATTATGAATTTTGAAAAAATTGAGGTATTTTTGACAAAATTTAGGATAGTCTAGAAATTTTCGGAATTTTAGAAAAAATTGAGATATGTCCGAAATTTTTTTTTTTATAATCAGGGAAAATATGTTATGTCCGGAAAATTTTTTTTGTATAACCCGGGAAAATTTGATGTCCCGAAAAATTATGATATGTCCGGAAAATTTTTGTAATTACCGTTGAATGATACTATGGCTACGGGGGGTGGGGGGAGAGGCCGCAAAAAAATTTTCAGGTAAAATTTGAAATTTGAATAATTTCAGGTAGATTTAACCCCCCCCCCCTGTAGCGAGTTCCTCGCGACGGCACTGGAAGAGCTATTGCTGTAGTATGGCTTCCGCGGTCCACACCAAATGATAAGATGTTAAGATACTTTTAAGTAGTACTTAAAATACGAGAAGGAGTGTTTTATCCTACTGTTTAAAACGCGAGGCGCAGCCGAGCGTTTTAGATATGATAAAACGCGAGCTCGAGTGTTTTGAATAGCTTAAAATACGACTACAAAAGAATACTAATTAGGATAAACAATTATATAATTATACTAATTAGGATGAAAAATTATATAAAGAATACTAATGAAGATGAGTTTATTCGAAGTCACTCCACGTGAGATATTATTGCTGACATGATTTGCCACAAGGTTTATGATGTTTAATGAGTATTTTAAAGTCTGTAGAAAAGTCCCATGCAGTTATTATTACGCGATTATAATTCAGGAAAGGCGTACAATGTTCACTACAAATATCTCGCAAGTATGAGCTAATTGGTCTTTCTTTTCTTGTATAAAATTTTAAATAAAGATTAGGACTAGAACATAAATATACAAAACATTTGTATATATGCAATTTATACATACAAAACATTTGATTGCTCTTCTTTAAATGAAAATGACTGTTAAAACAAAGCATTAAAAACGACAAAATGCATGTATATAGAATAGAATATATGCATGTATATTTTACTTGATTTAGTTGAATTCAGTTTAATTAAAAAGTTAAAAGTTCTGACAACCTCCCTAAAGCCGGTTTTCCACTAGGCGGAAAAAGTCCCTCCTCCTCGGTGGATGCTTGAAAATTATAAGAAACTTATCTTTCAAATAATGAATGCCCCTTGGTAGAGAAGAGTAACCATTTTTGAGGTCTATTTGCAAAATTATTTCTCATAAATATTCTCTAATTTTACGTTCAACCAAGTATAGGCAGCATTCCAACTACACGCTGCTGTGAAAAACGAGTCACTGAAACTGATGCATTGAGATTTTGGTCTTCTCACTCGATAGAACAAACAATTAAAGGGTTTTGTAGATGGAAAGAGCGGAGTTTGTAGCCTATATATATAACATTTTGACCTAATATATCAGGACCATGGAACTGCGAAAAAATGCAACTATAAGCTCTTTGGCAGGAACCTAACTTGCGGCTTTAACAAGTTTCTTTTTAATATTTAAATTATTTTATTAACACTTAGTTTTACGATGATGAAGTGGATGAACCTGCAGTAAAACCAATGGCGAATGAAGAGAAGAACGACTATGGAAAGCAATTTGATGAACTGAGTGAAAAAATTGAAAAAACGAATGAATTGGTGAAGCAAATGTTAGAAAAAATTCCACCTGGCGGCAAAGGCCGGCGTCGAAATTTAGCTGTTTAGAAGAATATAGCTGCAACGGGTATGCATGCATGGCAATCTTGCAATAAACATGTCATATAAAACAATAAAATAAAGTATGCAGCAATCTGTGCAAGTCTCATGCACATAAGGTTTTAACGGTTGAAACAGACATTTTCCTGCATTTTGTCAACTTAATTGGCACATTTATTCTCTTAATTATTGCATTTATTCTCTTGTTCCTAATTGCATGCTGCGAGAGAAGCGAGCAGCATACTATTCTTTGATGGTTACTCGATTTATGCAGGATATTTATCATTCGAGATGACCTTTCTAATACTCGATTTAAGGATATTTTTCATTTACCCAACCAGACACACGTGCTCTCAAGTTCTTTTCAAATTTTATTCTAATGCAAGGCGACCGCAAAAGAAGAAGAGAGAAGGTAATTGCAGAAAAATAATGTTCAATTCAACTGTTTATATCTGGAAGCATTCATCAAGGGAACGAACGTTTTAATGAGAGTTCAAGGGGAAGGCAATGTTCGTGTAATATGATTTTTTCAGCCCTGTATATAATTACAAATGCATGCACGTTGTTGAACTTTAGGCTTCCCATATAGTAAGTAAAATATTCGCCCCATATGCATTGAGACGGATTTCATTGAGGTGAAACGAGGTCCGGGTCGATTTGGGTCGATTCATTTTTTAAACAAGGAACGGCTTAACCGACTACTCTTTTATTAATAAACTTTTTTAAAACCTTTTTCTGACTTTTTCAATTTTTAAATTGTTTATTAGACATGCATTTACTTGTTAGGGTTAGGGGACGAGCTTTGTGTTGGGATTAGTTTACTTTAAAAAAAAGTCAACTTTAACTGTATATAGCCTATAGGCACTGAACCACTGACAAAGAACGCCCGCGGGATGTATAGTAAAATCCCAGTGGCAATGAATCACACAATTCAAATCAAACGTCCATTGATCGGCAATATATGAACTTTTTATGAACTCTTTAGTTTATTGAACATTATATTTAATATAAAATTATTTTATTGCACAAGTTATATTTAGTTCAATTATTTCAAACAAAGATGTTATCTGTAACTGCCCATCGGGCACACGACGTTGTTTCAACGTTGAAATTTGGTAGAAAAAAAGATTGCGACGTCGACAACCTAATATCTACGTTGCTCTGACGTTGTTTTACAAACATTGGTTCAACAGCAGCCAACAGACGTTGAATTAACGTTCATTCATGGTTAAATGTACGACGTCGATTTGTGAACCAATCTCAACGTTGTTTTAACGTGGATTCAACGTTGAATTGTGGTTGACGAGGTTGGCAACCTAATTTCAACGTTGTTTCAACGTCGAAACAGTAACGTCGATCCAATTTGCATAGTCAACCCTTTTTCAACGTCTATCCAACGTCTCGAAGGTCATTTCCAACGTTGATTCAACGTTGGATAAACGTCATTTTGCCCGCTGGGTGCATGGTCGTCTGTGGCTCTACCTCGCAGCAATTCCCTTTCTATTAGAAGTTTCTAGTGTATAATATATATAGGCTATCCTATGACCGTCATCATTTTCAGGTGAAATAGATGCAGTTCTTCAACATCAACTATTAAAACGACCAACATGCATCGGGCAAAGAAAAATTTTACGCTGTAAGACGATGACAACCTTGTTATTCCCGAGCCAATGGCGCGGAGCGCCGTTCCGGGCGGAAGCCCGTCGCGAGGGTACTAATTCCTCTCGGCTATTTTCACCCGTGGAAAGGAAAGCATTTGCGAAGTCTAAAGTCTATCAATGATCGCGGGCGCGTAGCTATGTTTCATCGTGTTATGGGTGGACCTCCTCACTTATCTCAAATATATGGCGAATTTAGCAGTGGAATGAGAGGTATTTACGGGAGGGGAAACATTCACAAACACGAGAAATCGTTATTTAGACGAGCAGCTAAACAGTTTATTAAATTTGTTTTTGCTTCATAACAAAAGTTCACTGCAAAAAAATATGTGTAAATTTTACACAAAAACGCCAGTGAGTAAAATTTGGATCCACAGCAACACATTTATATGTGTAAATTTACTAAAAAATATTGGTAAATTTACACATCGGTTGTGTAAATATTACACAAAAATATCGATAAATTTACACAAAGGAAATGCATCCACAGCAACACATAATTTTGTGTAAAATTGCACTTTACACATTACCTGTGTAAATATTACACAAAAATATCGGTAAATTTACACAAATAAAGTGCATCCACAGTAACACATAATTTTGTGTAAAACTGCACTTTACACATTATCTGTGTAAATATTACACAAAAATATCGGTAAATTTACACAAATAAAGTGCATCCACAGTAACACATAATTTTGTGTAAAATTGCACTTTACACATTACCTGTGTAAATATTACACAAAAATATCGGTAAATTTACACAAATAAAGTGCATCCACAGCAACACATAATTTTGTGTAAAATTGCACTTTACACATTGGTTGTGTAGATGCTACACAAAAATAATGGTAAATTGCTGCGACTGAAATGCATCTAAACCTACATTTATTTTTGTATAAAATTCTTTGTAAATTCTACATAAAAATAGATTATTAAACCTATATATACCATATTAATTAAAATGAAACAGTCACAGAAAATGGTTTAAAATAATATATTTACTTAAAAGTTAAACACATCGCACATGTTCACCAAAGTTAAATCTTGTCAATTATTATAATGTTGAACCTTACTACATATTCAAAATATATCATTATCAAAGGAATTGGTCCTGCATTCCGTGATTTCAATTTCAAGCTACTTATATATATTCATTGGTTATTAGCGGACATTGGATATAAACTTGAAATTGGCAAATATATGTTATATGGGAAATCTCTTGATTGTAAACATGGAAGCCTACGAACAGAGTAAAAGTCGTTCTCGGCCCTTCACCCTGACAAAAAAGCATTTGCTTGAAAAAATGAATTTTAGTCAAATAGGCTTACATGTTTGCTACAACCAAGAGATTTTGGTCAACAATATTCAGCTGATCACAAACAAGTATGTGTTATATCCAAGATACTGTTTATTTTTGCATTTGCATAAGGGCGGGGATGTGTGGTCTGGTGCAATTTAGTGTACCATCCTGGCTTGAAAAGAATGAATTTTAGTCTCACTGTTATAGCCTTGCATGTTTGCTACAATCAGGATATTTTGGTCAACGTAACATTGCAGCTGATCACAGAGAAATATATGTGTTATATATAAGAGATTGTTTATTTTTGTATTGCGGGGATTTAGTGTACCCTTCTGAAACTTTAGTGTGGCCAATTCCTTGATACCCATATTTTCCAATGGCCCACCCTCCAAGGGCGATTTTTTTTCCAGATGACCCTGTCCCTTCTAGAGGAACTTGTTTTTTAACCCAAGCTGCAAAGCTTCCCCATTGACGAGTAAAATCGTCTGGCAAAAGACAAGTAAAATATGGGTTCAATGAGTTAATAAAATGATGGGAAATTGTTACTGTTTTTGAGAAGATGTTTCATGTTAAACTTCCATGGTTGGAAATTTGGAGTCTCTAGATTGTCAGAAATTGCATTTTTACAGTCTTCTGTACTTTTAAAAGCTGCAATTTTTCTACGACAGCCCTCTTATTTGTCAACATTTTTGTATGCCCCCCACACTATTTGTTCCAGCCATCTCCCCTCATAACTGAATAAATGGCCCCTGACTGAAGTCACTAATTTATGATTTGAATGGTTACATACTAAATACTTTATAAGGGAATGAGGTTGGTTACTTATAACAGTAACAATGACAATGAGTTTAAATTTTTTACACAAAAGTTTGCCTGGCTTAAAGTTTGCAAATTTAGGTTGTCAAATCTTAAGAGCTAAAATACTTATCAGGATAGTATAAAACATAGAAATGTTAGTATTTTAAATTAAATTAAAATAAGGCAACTTAATGGTTGGTAATATACATGCATAATTCTAAATAAGTATAATATTTACAGTTTGCATGGTAAATACTATTCGTTCTGGAAAGTGCGCATACATATTTATATCACACAATACATGCAGATAAAACTACTGATTATATAACATTGGTATTATAATACATATTTTTGTAGATTCCATGAGTCTTTTTTCAGTTCCATCATACGCGGCGGTTGTCATTCATAATTCTTCAGGAGTGTGGTCTATTGGTTCCGCTGGTTCTAATATGAAATATAATTCAAAAACTCATTAATAATTCACGAAGGAAACCACAAGGCACAAAAATCATAAGCATATATTAGTATATCTTTATATGTGATAGAGACTGCCCTTGATTTACATGAACTTTAACTTTGATTTTCTCCACTTACACAACGTATTTTTTGACCGAAATTACTTTGCCAATGAACTCACTAGATCGATAGTTAGTTTTGAAGCAATTTAAAACATTCGCAGTGCGTGTTTTGAGTCAGACCTAAAGATACTCTGCTTCGCCTCGTATCTTTATATCTCATAAAACACTGCTGCTCATGTTTCAAATAGTACATGAAGAATATTTCATTATAATTTAATCTCAAAGACAAAAAAACCGAATTCAATAACTGTTACCATACATTATTTTCATTAATAACTCAGGCTTTCGACAAACCGCAATGATTTGCCGCACAAAAAAATCGAAGAACCAGTGGAGAAATACAAAAGAACCAGTGGAGAAATACAAAACAAGTAATTGAATGGTTTGGAAATATAAAAGACAAAGAAAGACATAGTTTTATTTCGTTT